ATTTACAGAAAAATTTCCAGTACACAACACAAATTTCTGTAGAAATAAACCGATTAATATGGTAAGAGCGATGCAATATGTGATACAGAGCGCTGGTTTCTCAAAGGAGATTTCTGGAGTGGTATCATAAGAATATATTGCACCATAACACATGCAGTTTTCACTATTGCTGCTAAACCACATGAAAAACTGCATGAAAACAATTCATTTACAATAACAAATTGTGAAGGCTGCCATAATAACTGGAACTTAGTGTTTAACTCCTTACGGCCTTTCAAAACTATTGGGACGATGGAATATACATAATATACCACTGTTTTATAGCCTCAACCGTATACATCATATTGGGACGATAGAATATACATAATATACCACTGTTTTATAGCCTCTACCTTATACATCATATTGGGACGATAGAATATACATAATATACCACTGTTTTATAGCCTCTACCTTATACATCATATTGGGACAATAGAATATACATAATATACCACTGTTTCAAAGCCTCTACCTTATACATCATATAGTATCCCACACTTTGTCATGCAATACTTACACCTATGTACGAATGATATGTGTTAATGAGTGAGTGAGTGAGTGAATGAGGTATACACTGATATGGACCGTATTTCAGCCATACCAACAATCATGAAGTAATTAGTATTTATTGTTGAATATTTGTGCGGAGTGAGTGAGCATGTTTTTCAAGCTTTTAGCAATATTCCAGCAATATTTAAAAAAAATAATACCAGAGTTCAGAACATAAAGATGCTAAGAAGACGTACAACTTTGTGGATAACAACTTCTGGTTTATTGTCTACAGCGACGTTTCGATGTAGATCTTACACCGTTATCAACTGGAGTGACAACAACCAAGTGATGAGAGGTATCTATGCATGACATGGTGTGATAAGCAGCAGATTAACATTGACAACAACAGGTGATAGATAACAAGTAGCCTACAGATAGCTGGATGAAGCCAAATGTGCAGTCAGAATAACGAACAGAACACAGGTGATGAAGCCAGATGTACAGTAAGAATGACAAACAGAACACAGGTGATTAAGCCAAATGTGCAGTCAGAATAACGAACAGAACACAGGTGATGAAGCCAGATGTACAGTCAGAATAACGAACAGAACACAGGTGATGAAGCCAGATGTACAGTAAGAATGACAAACAGAACACAGGTGATTAAGCCAAATGTGCAGTCAGAATAACGAACAGAACACAGGTGATGAAGCCAGATGTACAGTCAGAATAACGAACAGAACACAGGTGATGAAGCCAGATGTACAGTAAGAATGACAAACAGAACACAGGTGATTAAGCCAAATGTGCAGTCAGAATAACGAACAGAACACAGGTGATGAAGCCAGATGTACAGTCAGAATAACGAACAGAACACAGGTGATGAAGCCAGATGTACAGTAAGAATGACAAACAGAACACAGGTGATTAAGCCAAATGTGCAGTCAGAATAACGAACAGAACACAGGTGATGAAGCCAGATGTACAGTCAGAATAACGAACAGAACACAGGTGATGAAGCCAGATGTACAGTAAGAATGACAAACAGAACACAGGTGATTAAGCCAAATGTGCAGTCAGAATAACGAACAGAACACAGGTGATGAAGCCAGATGTACAGTAAGAATAACGAACAGAACACAGGTGATGAAGCCAGATGTACAGTAAGAATGACAAACAGAACACAGGTGATTAAGCCAAATGTTCAGAAAGGATAGTGAGTGAGTGAGTTGGGTTTAACGCCGCTTTTAACAGTATTCCAGTTATATCATGGCGTGTCAGCTTAATGTGGGAGGAAAGCCCGAAGTGATGCAGGTCTCGGACGTTTACCCCTTCGGTGAAACCCACGACCACGGGTATGGTGCTGACAATCCTAGAAACATAATCAGGGTGAACCGGGATTCGAACCCACAATCATAGGTTTCTGGCATGCCCAAGGGACGCAACTCTGCAGCAAATAGCAGCGCCATAGACGACTGGGCCACCCGTGCCCCCCAGATGTACAGAAAGGATAACAAACAGAACCCAGGCAATGAAGCACACGGGATATGAAGCCAGATGTTCAGAAAGGATAAGGATTAAAAGGATTAAACAGTTGATTGGATACTAACCGTTAATACCGTATTCGACGTAATAAGCGCCCCACTCTGATAAGCGCCCATGGCAATATTTGCTAATATGATGGCTAGTGAACAATCCCAATTAACACCCCTTTGGATTGATCAATGTACACAAAACATTTTTATTCGTGTATAATACGCACTCGTGTGTTATATGCACCCTTAATTATGGCCAATTTAATTCTGGAAAATATATCTATCATGTATAATACGCACAGGCCTTTCTTTTGTATCATTTCAGGCTGTCAGCATAAACCACGAAATTTACAAGCTTTCAACTCTGTTTTTTTTTCAACAAAATAATATTCTAATAAGGGCCCCCTATTTTTAATTTTGTGAGGGCCCTGTGGGCTTATTACGTCGAATACGGTAGTCTATTGCTTGATTAGATCTTCATAGGCAGACAAGTTGTCATACCCTTGATCACTGCTGATCAAAGGTTTGTAGCGGCGAAGTTGTTTTCCATACAGTTGTACGTTTTCTTACCGACTCCCCAACTTCTAGAACGCCAATCAAACAGTTATACAGAATTCTCTCCATAAACTGCATCCATATCATAACATTGATCATTGGTGATATGTGATACACATCTGTACCCAAAGCGTGAGTATTGTTTTATACCACATCAAGATTCTCGCAACACCAAGATGCAATCAACCCGAAGAAGACTTCATACATTGAACCATGTAGGGAATCGAACCCAGGGAGGCAAGACAAGTAAACACTTTAACTACAAGGCTACCCATCTTTAGTTAAACGACAATATAAGATTTATATGCCAGAAAGAGTGAGTGAGTGTGGTTGTACGCCGCTTTTAGCAATATTCCAGCAATATCACAGGGGACAACAGAAATGGGCTTCACACATTGTACCCATGTCGGGATTCGAACCCGGATCTTCAGAGTGACGAGCGAACGCTTTAACCACTGGGCTACCAGACTGCCCCTATGCCAGAAAGAAGAGCTATCGTATTAAAATCAGACCTTAGCGCTGGCTACCGCTAAGCAGAGCACACAAAGTAGAGGCAGCGAGCACTGAGATCTGATGATAATAAGACTGGAAAGACGATTAATCTGTCTCATACAAGGTCCAACAGTAGTTCAACATTCAGCCACAATCCTGTCAGTCCTCTTTCACCAAACAAAATGAAATAAGGCCATTGTATATTAATTACTAGACTCCATCATTTGTCTTGGCTTGTTTCATCACTTGATAACATACACCATATCCGTAGTCCAAGCAAACACTCCTGTGAATCACATACATCCACAATTTATGTACACATTCCTTGAAAGGTTTGCTAAAATAAAATACACCTATTCCTCCATGTCAAACATGTGGATGAAAATCTAATAATACATTTATTGTGGCCAAAGGCATTGGCTGTGGCCTAGGGCGAGTACTGGGAAACACTTATCAAATCAGACAATGCAATGACATTTGACTAGAATAATATATATACACTGATAAGGATATACAACATCTACAACGATATATACATTTATAACACTGATATATACAAGATACGAGTCATGACAAAATGGAGTATATCACAATATGAGTGAGTGAGTGAGTATGGTTTAACGCCGCTTTGAGCAATATTCCAGCAATATCACGGCGGGGTACACCAGAAATAGGCTTCACACGTTGTACCCATGTTGGGAATCGAAATCGGGTCTTCGGCGTGACGAGCGAACACTTTAACCACTAGGCTACCCGACCGCCCCTATCACAATATGAGGCATGACACAAGGTTTAAATACTCCCATGGGTTCACAGATGATCAAATTGTCATATTTAGTGAAACAATTTTAACATAGTGAGGCCTGTTAATCAGGACAGTAAACTGTCCGGAATACTAAGTTTCCCTGGTAACAAAGTGTCTTCTGATATGAAATATATCAATCGATATGAGTTGATAAAAGTTTATAGCCATGAGTGTGAGATTCTATTTATCATTCAAAATCATTCTACCATCTTTCTCAGTCTTAAAACTCAAGAACCTTGAGTGTAAAATGTACGACCAACCAGATTCAGTGATATTAGAGATATGGCAGAGATATTGAGGTGGCATTTGTTTCTGACGTCATGGTCACTAATGACATCACAATGGTCTGCAAGGCATTGTGATGCATTTGAGATATCTCCTGTGAAAGCCAGTTTGGGATGATAAACAGGATTTCAACATGTGTAATATATTAAAATCAATGCAAATATTCATTCAATCAAAAACTTTCAACATAAAAACCTGGTTGTTGTTCCAGCGACCTACTGAACATCTGTGTAGAGATAAACAATAAAATTAATTTTCTTAACACACATTTCATTAACTCTATATTTGACCTTCCGTATAACCACAAAAACTTGTCTTCGAAAAAACCCCGTTGCCTAGCAACATAATTTCTATATTTTTTTTAGGTTTCTTCTGTATAATGTGGTAATATCCCAACAGATGTTAGGAAACAATAGACTAGATACACACTGGTCTTTTTTTATTTATGGATTATAAGAAGGATTCATGTGGATATTATATTCTTTCAGATATCAGAATTTTATAAAAATGATATATTGCCAACATGAAGCGAGTGAAACCATTCTTTATGCAACACAGGCCTTTCAATGTTTCACATACCTTGAAACCTACTCCTCAATTCAAGGAAGTACAGCACATATAAATATACAACAGTAGAGAGCTGTCAGGTTAGATACATCTTCCCGAGCAAGGGATTTAACTGATTGAAAAAGTCCATTGTCCACCCTTGCCGAACTTGCTGGAATTTCTGGGCTCGATCGTAGAGAACAAGTGGCTATTACGAGTATTTCCCTCCTATTGACCAATCAGAATCCACCTCTCCTATCACTTGCAATTGTTTCAAATATAATGGCGTTGATCAGCGAAGACGATCTGATCGATAGTCAAGATCCATATTGTAATCAAAACAGGTCCTATTTCAATTTGGAAACTATCTGTTGATGCTAAGCTGTTGGTGCACATGTTTTGCAAATCCTGCAATTGACCGAAATCTGCACGGCAGTTTATGAACCAGATGTTGATTTTGTTTTGAGATTTTGAGTGGACTATGCATAGACTCATAAGTCCAGCCAAAATGTAAGTCCATAATATCAGCCCAGTTCGGCAAGGGTGGAAGCTGGACTTTACAGTCAGTTAACTCCCTTGCCTTAGGAAGATGGGTTAGATACCCGTCACCAACTTACAACATTGACACAAAACACCGTAATGACGTTAACTTGAAGGAGTTACCTCCCCTGTATATACACAAAACACCTTAATGACATTAAATTGAAGGAGTTACCTCCCCTGTATATACACAAAACTCCTTAATGACATAAACTTGAAGGAGTTACCTCCCCTGTATATACAAACCACCTTAAACATCATGAACATTGGAATACACTGCATCAGGAGTCATTGTTCGGATTACCATCAAATAGTTTCCAAAACCACTTATCCCACATCTTGTTCGTCTTGTATCCTTGCCCAATGTCATACAAGCAAAGATTCCATCGGGACTAGCATGTTACAGGAAACATCTGCGGTACCATGCGATAGATAGGGAGTTATTTATAGTTTCAAAGAAATGGAGTTCTGACCAAATTGTAGAAAGGTTTGTTTGTTGTTAATGCGACAGCAATATTCCAGGTGTGTGACAGCAGCCGGCAAATAACAAGTCAGAAACAATAGCGATTGACATCAAGGACAAAGTCCCCTGTATCGGGGTAGGATGCCATGCATCATCTAGTCCATCCATCTACTTGGTCGTCTTGTAAGACAAGCCGAGTTGCTTGGGAACAATTCTAACCTGGAATCACACAAACAGGGGATCCGCCAGGGTCAACACACGATGGAGCTCCTTTTTCTTCAAGCATAAATAGATTTAAATAGAGTTCCAGTAACACTGTTTCAAATCAAATCTGAAATCCAAATTGCACATTAGATTGCACATGTATTTTGTAAAGCATCCGTTACCATGGTTACTAAAAATTAAAGCAAATATATCAGGATATTTATGTAGCAGGGCGTGGAGTCATCCCACAGATGACATCCTTACCTTGTCAGCTTGGATCAGAAGGTCCGTGGTTCCAATCCACAAAAGATCTCTGTTTTCAATCCTATTACCGGTAAAAACATGTGATGAAGAAAGAACCCATCGGGTTAACTATCATCTCCCGTCATCACACTCCTAGCACCATAGTTAACACCGAAAATCAAAAGAAATGTTATTTACCTGGGTGCCGTTGTACAAAGCGATCTTAGCGCTAAGGTGATCGTAACTCCAATACCTTAACACAGACTTACGACAGTCGTAGCGCTAAGGTTGTTTTGTACAACGGTACCCTGCTACGGAAGTAAACATGGCTTTGTTATGATTATTGCTTGGGTATCAGCAGAGGCTCGGTGTAAATATACTTTAGAAGCAACAGTATTTCAGGGCCTCGTTCCACAAAGCGATCGTAGCGCTATGCCTGTCGTAAGCCTATGATAAAGAATGGGAGTTACGATCATCTTAGCGCTACGATTGCTTTGTGGAACAGGGCCCTGAAGTTGACTGATATAAAACTGAATAACCAGAAAAGCTACTCATTGTCCTGTATTTTCCCTGGGGTAGTATTTGAATCTTGTAGGGATCCGTATTGGAGGCTTAAAGTGTATCACAATATTTTACAATGCACAAGGTCACATTGTGATGTGTATCACGATATATTGCATAATTCTAAATTTGAATTCAGAAGCAGCTTGAAACACCAGTGTATGAATTGAAGTTTATAAATGGAATAAAGCAAAATGCTGTTTACTCATTCACTAAATACGGGTTTTTGGCAAGTTTATACCCTGAAACAAATGATAAAAATTGCTATTTGAAATCACCTAGTATACTAAGCATTATAAAATGATATTGTGACAGGTATCTTGGAAAGAATGAACCTCAATTTACTGACATACCGATATTACCATGCACCCTTATTATCTGGTATGTCGAAGCACACCCTAACACAGTGAGTGAGTTTCTGTTTAACGCCACACTCAGCAATATTCCAGCGTTATGACGGCGGTCTGTAAATAATCGAGTCTGGACCAGACAATCCAGTGATTAACATCATGAGCATCGATCCACACAATTGGGATACGATGACGTGCATCAACCAAGTCAGCTGGCCTGACAACCCGATCACGTTGGTTCTTAAAAACTGACAGTTGACATGGTCTCCATAACACTGACAGGAATATTTGTATCAGAAGTTAAGTACTACATGTTTGTAAAATCATCCAGTTGGATGATTTTGTGACGTTTCTCTCTCATTCTCTGTTTATGTTTCTTGTTCGTTTCCTCTTCTCTGTTTCCTCTCCTCACTGTTCACAGTACGCTGATGTCACCCTTGCAGTGGGCGCAGCAGTTGACGGTCAGGTTGTCGTAGCGAGCGTCGGGATGGAACCTCTGAACACGGGATCCTGTTCCAGGTCCGGGTCCAAACAGGTGCCCTGACACAGACTTCTGTACCGGATCCAACTTGGTTTGTCTTGCAACCAGCTGAAAAAGACAAGCAGGCAAAGATGACATATTTTTCTCTTTATAATTTACATTGATGTAATAAAACAAGAAAAATAAATTTTGTTGTCGAGGAACAAATTATTCTGATTAAGAAAATACAGTTTTTGAGGGTTATCTCCCCTTCCCTAAAAGTTTACAGTTGCTGTGTGGTGAGAGATTGTGCTGTACTTAATGTTACATCAAGATTTTTGTTAATCACGACACGCCAGACTCATAGGGAAAGAAAGACCAGAAGCAGAGTGAGGCTGACCAAAGGGACATAATCAGGTGATGAGAAATAGGGTTTAACATCGCTTGTGCATGTTACATGAATACACCACTGAGACACAATATACTGACTCTCATCAAACCAATAGTATCACAAGAGTGAGTGAGTGAGTGAATGAGTGAGTGAGTGAGTGAGCGAGCGAGCAAGCAAGCGAGGTTTTACGCCACTTTTAGCCACATCAGGATTCTCACAACACCACGATGCAATCAACCAGATTGGGCTTCACACATTGTACCCATGTCAGGAATCGAACCCAGGTCTTTGGCGCGACAAGCAAACGCTTTAACCACAAGGCTACCTGACCACCCGCATGAGTGAGTTGTGTTTAACTCGATGTGGGAGGAAAGCCTGAAGTCGTGCAAGTCTTAGAGTTTACCACTTTTGGTTTAAGCACGGGTATGGTGCTAGCAAACTAGAAACATAATCGGGGCGAACCGGGATTCAAACCCACAATCATAAGTTTCTAGAGTGCCCAGGGGACGCAACTCTGCACAGCGAATTGCGGCCCCTTAGACAACTGGGCCACCCGTGCTCCGTATCGCAATAGTGACACCGAGACATGAGACATCCTGGCTACAGTCCAAGAATGATCCATGTCTCTCGGAGAGCCGTATCCAGACTGACCTGGTGTGCGAAGCTCTCTGCATGTGTCATGGAGTTCTCCAGTTGGTCCTCGATGTTGATGGTGGTCTGGATGCTGAGTTTGCCGGGGAGGAGGCGGTACCGGATTGCCTCCGACAGCTGCTGGGACATCCTGGCCAGGTCGATGACGTTTGTGGACGGCAGGCTTGTCGACTTGTGGGCATTCAGGGGATCGAAGGCCCCTTTCACTTGCTGTAGACACCTGGAGAGAGGAGTGAGTGAGTGAGTGAGTTTGGTTTTACGCCGCTTTTAGCAATATTCCAGCAATATCACGGCGGGGGACACCAGAAATGGGCTTCACACATTGTACCCATGTCGGGAATCGAACCCGGGTCTTCGGCGTGACGAGCGAACGCTTTAACCACTAGGCTACCCGACCGCCCCGGAGAGAGGAGTGAACGAGGTTAGGCACAATTTCAGTCAAATCAGATTTTAGTTCTCACTACCACTGAACAAAGATCTGAGGACATCTCATTACGGGTCAGGCCAGAATGACCTTTCTTTTGACCAATCAGAGCATCGCTTATCAGATCATGAAAGTGACAGTTGGAATGTGATTTTTGATCATGCAACCTCAAAAAAACCCACACAGGGTATTCCGAACGACAGTTATGGGCTTTCTGTCTGTATTCATACAATCTAGACCACCTATTAGCCATTCCAGAATGTTTTTTGTTCAGTTTTTAATTTTTTAATCGAGTATATGTTAAAAAAAACTTGTACCATAAAGCTTGATTAAGCTGCCTTCTGATTGGGCATTGTCGACTTCTTGTTAGTCATTCTATTGGTCGGTCAAAGTTTGCGAAAGGTCGATCTGACGTGACCCGTAAAGGGATGTCCTCAGATCTTTGTTTAGTGGTAGTGAGAACTAAGATCTGATTTTAATGAGATTGGGTTAGGCATAGTGGCATAATGATACAACATACCTCAAATTCGGCATAATTGCGAAAAAGGTACAGAATAACCCACCATTACCCACTTCAGTTTGAGTTGCTTGCATACTTATACAAGGCCTGTCAGGATTCACCGATACCTACAATATCATTGATACTTAGGTACACACGATACTTGAACCATCAGTTTGTGAGATCACGATACACCATAAATACATGAAATAGAACAGGACCTAATAGAGTAACCTACCATAATGGCAGAAGTAGCACAGCGCCACCTGTAAGCAGTTTTTCAGATAAATAAATAAATAAATAAATAAATAAATAAATAAATAAATAAATAAATAAATAAAGAAAATTTAGAGCTGTATTTCAGTGATTTCATCATTTCTTACTATTTGATGTGTATCATGACACCAGCAGTATCATCAGTCTGTATGGTTATATGAATCGTATTGCAAGAAACTTGGCGATACTCAGTTCTTGCAAACTCGCATTTAAACTTTAAAAACTCCACCAGTGTACATGGTATATGAACACTGTGTGTAATTACCCTAAGTAGCACCTGTATTTCTACAAAGATGTCTATTTACAGATTGAATGCAGGCACCACACATGCATGGACATACAAAAGGCGCGACATCTCACTTTCTGTTAATGATGAGACATTTACTGTAAATCAATGCAATTGCTGACCCCTTGCAAAAAATATGACTCAATATCAATGCGACTCCCCCAACCCCATTCCTAGTGGAATGATACATATCCTTACCCTAATCCAATCAAACAGCAAACAGCACCACATATTAGCACTGAGTAGAGCACTCCGTAATAACAATAAACAGTGTTTTCCTAAAAACAACACACAGTTTATGTGTTTACTCTGTTGACTGGCATGAAGGAAGTTCAAAGGCAATTAAATAACAGTTCACTGACTGTATGGTCAGTGATGCCTACAGGTAGTCTGACACAAGAGGGTAGAACTCTTGACCTCAGCAGTGATAACTCACTGGTTGCCTATTGTGTAATTCTTATTCTTTGAATGACAACATTATATACTTAATACAACAGCTAGCTCAATAAACTGTGTTTGCATATATATTTATATTCAAGTTGGTATTTCCGCTATCCAAAGTGTGCAGTGCGTCCGTCTTATTGTTGATAGTCATTTTTGCGACATAAATGCAAAGTTTCATTAATGCGAACAAAGACCACTTGCATTATTCTAATCTAATTCATGCTCACGTTAATTTCAAGATTTACAGTATATCGCAGTTATGATACACAAACAGATATATATATTAGAATTTATCTTAAACAGCATTACTAGCTGAACTATTTTTCAAAAGGGAGTGCTCATTTGTGTATAGTACCTAAAGACTGGCCCCAAGAAAGTAAACATGTACGGAATACCCAGAGAAACTTCTCAATAGCCTATGATAGTAAATACAGCTAAAACAGTCTTCCGGAACCCTGGTACCTCGACAGCGTTGACAATTGCTCATAATATCAACCACTGTCTTGACCCGATTAGACACAGGCAGCTGTCATCTAGCTGAAATATTGCTGAGTGTTAATCAACAAACAACAAAACATTAAAGGGAGATAACTTACTTCATGGCCTCAAGCAAATTTGCTCGTAGCTCATGCCTCTCCGTGAGGAGCTGTTGCAATGCATCCTGGGACTCTTGGTACTGAAGCGAGTAGAATGCTCGGGCACTGGCCAGCTCGTCAATCATCACTCTGGCAAAGAGGAATATTGTGATCAACACATACAGAGTGTACATGATAACTGACCCGCCTTCTACAACACACCTTGATCTGCCCTAGTCTGTCAGTCATCATTACCAGGACTCCTGGCTGTATGTTATTTGATGCTTCAGCCTTACTGAAGCAGCGGTCATCAGAGTGGAGGCCAATCATTACTGATTCAGACAGGACACATTGTAATCATCATCTGACCCACTTCCTGACGGCTTTCTGTGTTTTCGATGTTTCAGATGTCTAAAGTAGGGCTTATCTAGGTGTTCTGAGACAATGTCAGTGTCGATGTTTCATATGTCTAAAGTAGGGCTTATCGAGGTGTTCTGAGACAATGTCTGTGTCGATGTTTCACATGTCTAAAGTAGGGCGTATCTAGGTGTTCTGAGACAATGTCTGTGTCAATGTTTCACATGTCTGTGTCGATGTTTCACATGTCTAAAGTAGGGCTTATCTAGGTGTTCTGAGACAATATCTGTGTCGATGTTTCACATGTCTAAAGTAGGGCGTATCTAGGTGTTCTGAGACAATGTCTGTGTCAATGTTTCATATGTCTGTGTCGATGTTTCACATGTCTAAAGTAGGGCTTATCTAGGTGTTCTGAGACAAATGTCTGTGTCGATGTTTCACATGTCTAAAGTAGGGCTTATCTAGGTGTTCTGAGACAATGTCTGTGTCAATGTTTCACATGTCTGTGTCAATGTTTCACATGTCTAAAGTAGGGCTTATCTAGGTGTTCTGAGACAATGTCAGTGTCGATGTTTCACATGTCTAAAGTAGGGCTTATCTTGGTGTTCTGAGACAATGTCTGTGTCGATGTTTCACATGTCTAAAGTAAGGCTTATCTAGGTGTTCTGAGACAATGTCTGTGTCGATGTTTCACATGTCTGTGTCGATGTTTCACATGTCTAAAGTAGGGCTTATCTAGGTGTTCTGAGACAATGTCTGTGTCAATGTTTCACATGTCTGTGTCGATGTTTCACATGTCTAAAGTAGGGCTTATCTAGGTGTTCTGAGACAATGTCTGTGTCAATGTTTCACATGTCTGTGTCGATGTTTCACATGACTAAAGTAGGGCTTATCTAGGTGTTCTGAGACAATGTCTGTGTCGATGTTGTACATGACTAAAGTAGAGCTTATCTAGGTGTTCTGAGACAAATGTCTGTGTCGATGTTTCACATGTCTAAAGTAGGGCTTATCTAGGTGTTCTGAGACAAATGTCTGTGTCAATGTTTCACATGACTAAAGTAGGGCTTATCTAGGTGTTCTGAGACAAATGTCAGTGTCGATGTTTCACATGTCTAAAGTAGGGCTTATCTAGGTGTTCTGAGACAAATGTCTGTGTCAATGTTTCACATGACTAAAGTAGGGCTTATCTAGGTGTTCTGAGACAATGTCTGTGTCGATGTTTCACATGACTAAAGTAGGGCTTATCTAGGTGTTCTGAGATGTCTGTGTCGATGTTTCACATGTCTAAAGTAGGGCTTATCCAGGTGTTCTGAGACAATGTCTGTGTAGATGTTTCACATGACTAAAGTGGGGCTTATCTAGGTGTTCTGAGACAATGTCTGTGTCAATGTTTCACATGTCTAAAGTAGGGCTTATCTAGGTGTTCTGAGACAAATGTCTGTGTCGATGTTTCATATATCTATAGTAGGGCTTAACTAGGTGTTCTGAGACAATGTCTGTGTCGATGTTTCACATGTCTGTGTCGATGTTTCACATGTCTGTGTCGATGTTTCACATGTCGGTGTCGATGTTTCACATTTCGGTGTTGATGTTTCACATGTCTTAAGTAGGGATTGCCTGTTACATCAGAGCAACACCCTGTAACCATGGTAACACACCTGCTGGCCAGGAACTTGGTGCGCCACATGTCTGCCTGGATAGACACCTTGTCCAGATTCTCGTAGTCCTCCGTCACCTTCCTGGTGTATCCACCGACCTCCATGGACAACTCCGCCTTGTCCCTGCGGACCAGGAAAACACTCCGTTAATACATCTGACACTTTCACCCCAGGTACATTCCCTTGTTGGGGAAGATCACAGATATGATACAGAAAATGAAGCTCGCAGTTCATGTCTGCGTGATGTGAGGTGAAATTGGGCTTTGCGTCGTGTCCAAGATTATTGCACTTATATAGCGATGTGCATGCACGTGTGAGTGTGGCGCTGTTTGTACTAGTCAAGAATAATGCTGCTTAGTGCTAGCCCACTGAGATTCCATGCCGCAGTTTAATATGAATACCCCACTCGGACACAATATATCGACTCCCAACTGACCAGTCCTCGTTTTGGACCCTTAATGCCGAGCACCAGGCAGGGTAACAAGAAGAAACATCTTTTAACATCTTTTGGTGTGATATGCCTGGGAGTCGAACCCCGGACGTCCGCTCTGTGGGCAAGAGGCTCTACCACTAGACCACGGAGGCGTTCGTATGTGTGATGTCTACATCTTAATCCGCAAATAATGATTTGTGAAGACATAAAGGTACGCAATCTGAAAAAGCTACTTTAGATACTTAATTTGATTAATTATAAAGATTTTCCGGTGTGTTTGTATTCCAGCAACTCAAATTAAATTGGGTCATGGCGATTTATTTTGCATATTTGCCTCAAGGAAAGTTCAGGCAGGAACTCCAATGTCAGTGTCCATAGTTTCTAAATATGTATTTTAACCAAATAGTAAAATGGCTCCTTAGAATTGGGTAAATGACACCCTTTTTTAGAAAGTTTGATTTACTTTTATCACTATTCCTATACCATGTATATGTTCTAGTACAGCATATTTTACACTTTCGACTGTTCAAGCCACTCCACTGATACAATAGCCAAGGCGTGGAAGGTTAGATGTGAAAATTCTCAATGTATTGCAGCACTTGGAACGTTAACTTGTGTCCATAGTGGATAATTGGAACATTCATAATAATGATAGATAAAATCTATCATCTTTCACAATGTTGGACTGATTTAGACCGCCATTTTACATGCATCCTGGAGCGTGTTCCAGGCGCCATGCTCTCACCGTGCCAGCCTCTCCACTCGTCTCTCCAGGTCTTCTCCCACAGACGCAATCAGCAGCTTTTTCAGTTCAGTATTCACCTGCAAGAAACACAACACATTCCAGTGATCGATGTTATGAGCAACGATCCACGCCATCGGGGTAGGATGACAAACTATCAACCAAGTCACAGAGATCGATCCATTTATTAGCTACCTCTTGACGACCGTGACCTGGAATTCCCACAGGGAGTACAATATTCATGTCTTTGACGACATGGGAAGTTAGAGTGAGTGAGTGAGTTAGGTTTAACACCGCTTTTAACATTATTCCAGTTATATCATGCCATATCAGCTTAATGTGGGAGGAAAGCCCGAAGTGATGCAGGTCTCAGACGTTTACCACTTCGGTGAAACCCACGAGCATGGGTATGGTGCCGACAAACCTAGAAACATAATTGGGGCGAACCGGGATTCGAACCCACAATCATAGGTTTCTTGCAGGCCCAAGGGACGCAATTCTGCACAGCAAATTGCGCCGCCTTAGATGACTGGGCCACCCATGCTTTTGGGAAGTTAGACATGATTAAAGGCAGTATTGTGGTAATGTCGATGTCATCACGTGGGAGGTCATCTCAAAGTGATGCAGGTCCGACCCTTAGAGACATTACCCCCTTGATGTGAATCTTGGTACAGGAAACTTCCGCAACCTAGGTTTGTTGTAAGAGGCGACTAACGGGATCGGGTGGTCAGGCTGGTTGATGCATGTCATTGTATCCCAATTGCATAGATCGATGCTCATGATGTCAATCAATGAATAGTCTGGTCCAGACTCAATTATTTATAGACCGTCGTCATATAGCTGGAATATTTCTGATTGTTGCGTCAAACACCATACAACGTTATATAAACACACCAGCTTGGTAGCTAACTGATAACATAAGCATTACTCAACATGATCAACGCAATCTCGCATGAACATAAACAGTTGAGATACACAATATCATGAACATTCACGACAATAGCTGTATTGGAAATGTACAATCACTGGTGTATACTAGTCTCAAATAAGGTACTAAGATCAGCTTAGTCTTTGCGAATGTTAAAACCAACCAGTTTAGCATTCAGCAAAAGATTAAAACCAAATACCTTCAAGATATTCCCACATCAGAAACTGAAATACTGTTCAGAGCAGCGTTAAAACCAACTCACTCACCATTGAATACCCCATGACATAAAAACCTTGAACATGTATAAAGTATATTGCCGTGTATAAAGCGACCCCACTTATAAGACGACCCCCCTGTACACGCCTTCAAAATCGACCCCAAATCATATACTTCGTGCATAAAGCGACCTGGAATGAAGCACATCACAAGTGCGCACACAAACCTTATATACGCAATAAAAATATGTTTATCTTGCGTTGTTTTTTCTACAATGATTGGTCGCGTGTGTAACTCCAGCACATGTTGCCATTTTGTGTTTACACGGTACGACACCAAATTGGTGCCCGTAAAATAAAATTAATTTACGAAATGCGAAGTTTCATTCACAAATGCTTGGTTGGCTATTGGACACCGGTTGACATTGCCAGTGGAAGCTGAAAGGGAAACAACTGGAAAAAAATGTGAGATCTTCGACTCTGTGTATAAGACAACCCCCCTTCTTAATCCCCTCATTTTAGGTACGAAAAACTCGCCTTATACACAGCGATATACGGTAAATTACGGACCCAAAAAGTACAGGAAATCTGTTCAACATCATCATGATTATCATGATCACAGTATATATGTATAACTGTCCAAAATTACCAGCATCTAGGCGCACTACACATCTTATGACCATGAACAGCCTGTGACAAAAACTGTTCAATCTACCAGCCCAAGCTAGTCCTTCCTCACGTTGGTAGATTTTACTCCTTTCATGTTTACAGAAATAAAATTTAGCAACATCTACTTGCAAAGCATACAAAAGCTGCAAGCTGTTAAATAATTCAGAAATAAAGTGATGCTCCAACCTTATGTTGTACATCTAGATCCTGTTTCAGATGCTTATTTTCCTGCCTCAGTCGTTCATGTTCATCCTTGCTGGGCCTGACCAATCCTAGTTCCTGTTCCAGTTGGAGAATTGTGGCGGAGGGGTTGGGCACAGGTACGTGACTCTCTCTGGGCTGTGGCGTACATCCCTGCACGGGTGTTATCACCTGTATTGGTTTCTGGGGCAGCTGGATAGTCTGACCTGTACTCTGCACAGCCGGTAACTGTGTGGCTGCACTTACAACTGATACTGGCCTCACAACACCAGCAGTCTTAGTTTTAAAGTCATGCTCGGCAAAATATTGTACTTGTTGTTGGTTGTTAGATGACACGTTTGGCTGAGTTTCTATTGTCTGTGTGGGAGGTGGTAGGGAGCTGACTTGATTCGATTCTGGTTTGGATGTTTGGGGTTTACTTGTTTTTTTGTTGAGTTTTTTTCCTTGGAAATCATACTTGGGTTTTGCATGTCTCAGCAACACAGTTTCTTGTGGGGAGGTCTTCTTTTGGGCAGCTTGCATGTTCCTGTTGAATATCTGGAACAAATGTGTCCGGTAACTGAACATGGTGAAATGTGTGGAAATGGCATTTGAGAATCAGCCACAGGTTCGACTGTTGTCTTTTTTAAATAAGGCTCATCATTACCATGTTAGCTCTGAAATCCTTTGTGTGGATCTAGAAGTACATCAGGGATCCAAGGTCATTCTCTTACTTACTTGTTGAAAACTAAGTAAATATAGTAAATCACTGGCCAAAATGAAATTTAAGTGGCCATGCGAATTGACACTACCTAATATGGGCACATAACTTTAACTATTATCGTGATGAATAAAAGATGATGTTAATTTGAAACCTATTTCTTATTTATTTGTTAATGCCATTTCTTCCTTACCAATACAACATGCAGTATTGAATTTAATCTTCAGTTCATCTACATATTTTTCATCACTTTCGTATCTACTGCATGAAATTTAGCTAAATGATATGGGCGTTTTTTTGTCTGTTGCATAAATTGTAGACTCTAAACTTTTTATGTCTGCGAGATACACCATGCGCTTTAATATTTTCTCAGTTAAACTTCTGACTGCCTTTAACCATGTTAATGAAATCATTATTTCCAGGAATAGATCACAAAACAGTGTGTCTGATGATTTGTGGTATCGCAACCAGTCAAATTCTAGCAACCATGACTCCTTAAATACACATGATGGAGCCTCCTCAACTTTCGGTTTCTTTTCTTGGTAGATAGATTTATAAGTTTCACTTGCATCAACTTGAAAAGATGATGTAATAATTTGTTTCCTTTGGAATTTCCTTTCAAATTGACAGGAGTTGCCATGTTTACGTGTCTGCTATACAAGGGCTTGTGGGAGTCTTTTCATCAATACTATTGAACTACATTGCGAGGTTGGATAACATGAAATCAACTAAAGTTACTTCTCTTAGAAGGATTGATAAACAGGGTATACATCGCTAAAAGTTTTGCCGATAATCATAAGTAACTACATTTCTAACGGAGCTCAAAAATAATTACCGACAGTAATATAACTGATTGCAGTTTTAATTAATGATTTTTCTACACTCACCATGAGACAAGTGTTTTAAAATGCTTTGTTGCATTTCTCAAACTTCACTCGAAAATGCGACCAATTCACTCACAGCTCAGTTTTCATACAGATCTATAGAGAGCAAACTGCAGCACTTTTTGCATGTGTTCTGTATAATATTCACATTTTCAAGGACACTTCAGCATGCTTAGGAAGAATATAAGGTACTTGCTCAAGCCAACCCCCCCCCCCCCCCCCCCCCATGTAATTATGCTAAATATGACAAATTACATATCCATCATCATCATCATCATCATCATCATATTTTTGATAGTTTGCCTATATCAAATTGATCAGCGTACAGCTTATAATCGATCTCTAATAATAAAGACAAAAGCCGAGTCAATTTCGATGATGTTGCTTATGGAGTCTATAAATATTCTGAAAAGAGCAACAGTAGTTGAAGTAGAAAAAGTTTGTGTTTTCTGTTTCATCATGTTCATTAGGCCTACTCTAAACCATGTTAACGTTGATAACAAATCATATCCATATTGAATCATTATCTGGTGTTCTCTGGCATAATCATAATTTTGATTACGATGAGAATCCGTGATAATTATTCAGAAGCTGGGTAATTGACAATCTAGCCAATAAAAAATAAACGAATAATCTACGTTACAACTTTCTTTAGCATGTTTAGTGCTGGAAAACTATCATTTTAGAGTCTGACAGCGATGGTAGAGTTTCGTGTTCACTTCAGAAGGTAAAGGAGACCTCTTATGAAAAGAAAAACTAAGACAAACAGTAATCCTTTATCCTAAAATGATATCCTCACAAAATACCATGGAAATTAATCTTAAGTTTACAACAATAACAAATTCAAGTTTACCTTTACGTGAACCACCCAAATTCCGGAAGTTAAACACCGGATATGACATTCGTATTTCCTTTACAGCAGAGTAACCAATCACGTTTCGCCTTTCAAATGGCAACGACCTGACGTGTTGCTACAACAACGGTAGACGCGGTGATCTGAAGGGATAACTTACAGTTTGACGACGGTCTGCAACGGATTTTGTCTGTGATATTCGGGATAATTATGGTAAGTTGAACATGGAATGTTTGTGTAACGGAAGAAACTCTCACCTGTTTGCATTTTTGCTATCATTTATTCTTCAGTATGAGCGACATTTGCAATTATTTCCAACATGAAACCGCATATTTCCATCAGTATTGCCCACAAGAACACAAACTGGTTGATTACGCTTTGTAACAAACTAAAGAAATATTCATTTGAAGTTTATTAATACTTAAAAGACATTTCATGCCCGTGTGTAACGTGTATAGCAACAGGTGAATGCAATGGTAGCGTTTATTCACACGAACAGACATAGTTGTTATGGAGGGAACATGTCAAAAGGGCCACACACCCTAGTCAAAAGGGTTACACCAAAAAACCAAAAGTGCCACAAACCCTAGTTAGAGTGGCAACAAAAAAAAAAGTCAAAAGGGCCACATGAAAAAATATCTAATGTAAAGTGTATATAGTAATTGTTTCTATTTGTTAGCTCTACTTATTTCATTAATCCAAAGCATTCACAATAAACTTTGATCAATATTGAAGCCTGTGTGTGTTGTCTTTACTAACCTTTGTAATATTGACTGTGTTGACTGACCACACTGATTGGTAAGAGTGATGAGTATAAACATGGCTGTTAAGTGTGTAAAGTCAAAAGGGCCACACGTCAAAACTACAACAAAGACATCAATGGTGAACACAGCCACAAAATAGATAAAAGAGGTCCTACCCAAAACTGTTCTGAAGAATCAGTATGCTCTTGACTCCAGAAAGCAATGGACTCATCAGACCTGCGACACAGGAATGAGCATAGCCTGTCTCACAGTCCCCGACCCGTATTATTTTCCCTTAAGCCCAGTCCTGACTGTAATCATATAGCCCTACGTGAAGCAAGTCTAGATTTTCCTCAGGTTCTGAATCTCCCATCTCACTTAGGCTGTTTTCAATTTAAAGGGAGTTGTTTATTTCTATAAATATTGTAAATTGTCAGGGACTGAGTGTTAGTCCAGAATGAGCAGTGTTCAACAAGTCTTCAACAATGAAGATGTACTTTGTGATGCTGATGTATGCCTTTACTGTTAAATATATTTGTTAGGAAAAATGTGTAGCGTATTTTCATATTTATGTCGATACTTTTGGTTTGTGTCCCTTTTGACATTTTAGTGTGGACCTTTTTTTATCTGTTTTCTGGCTGTATTGACATTGTATTGACTATTGATGTGTTTGTGGCAGTTATGGCGCATGGCCCTTTTGACTATAACCCAGTTTTGACACACAAATAATCCCTAATAGAAAATCGTTCTACAACTTTGTAGAAGATGTACTACCCTGCAAATCGCAAATAAGCTTGCATGTTTACTTCTAATACACTTTTGCATAACTTATATCTTTATCCTTTTAACTCTAGTACATATTTTCTTCATGGGACAACAAACTAGCCTACCTTTAGAATACAGTACCATAAACCTTTCGTGACAATACCCTATGACGTAATTTGTTGTATTTTGTTGTATTCATTGAGTGTGCATGTGCTCCTCCAAGTGATCTATCATCTCTACACACAATGTCATTGAATATACCCAGCGATGTTGAGAGTTTTGAATATTTGTTTACTAAATATATACTGTGGCGGCGCATTTTATAGCAAGCGCTAAATTATGAAAGCACCTTTATTTTTAATATATTTTTTATTTATTTTTTATTTATTTTTATTTGTAATTCAAGTGCCTAAGATGATGATAAATGGGAACTAATATACATATATTTTTTCATTTTATTAATTTTCATTTTTATGCACAGGAATGCAGTTTATTAGGTAAATTGTTTTGGCGCTGAACACATCCAAATAGTGATAGTGCATGTTTGATAACTTCCAAGGTGAGAATGTAATTTACTGTATACCTTCAGCCATTTTGGTAAAGGATGTCAACAAACTCCATAGTATTGGTTGATAAGCTTTTTAAACAGCACAGGTTTTGTCAAAAGCATCGAACAAAGATGGTGGATACATGTCCAGTAAGATGCATGCTTGTGTACTACTTCCTACATTGGTAATACTAGTCAACCCACAGTCAACCCACAATCAACCCACAATCAACCCACAGTCAACCCACAGTCAACCCACAGTCAACCCACAATCAACCAACAATCAACCCACAGTCAACCCACAGTCAACCCACAGTCAACCCACAGTCAACCCACAATGATCCAAATGCTACAAATGAATATTGTTCTTGTTTTCGTCTTTCCCTAGTTGTACTTTATCTAATTCAGAAACATTTGTCTCAGTTAACACAGTTTAGTGTGTTGTGTGTTTCAGGCAGACCAAGACAGGTTTTGTTTCCTGGTGGAGTGGTACGAGGAGCAGGCAGCTCGCATCAGACAGTTTCTCTTCACATACTATGTCAGCACAAAGGGGATTGAAATGGTAAGTCATCCTTTTGCTTATCAATAATTATTGTCCTGTCTGAAATATGCTTGCCGTAAAAGGCGGCTATGCTTGTTGTAAGAGGCGACTAACAGGATCGGGTGGTCAGGTTTGCTGACTTGGTTGATGCATGTCATTGTATCCAAATTATGTGGATAGATCTCATGATATCAATCACTGGATTGTCTGGTCCAGACTTGATTATTTACAGATCGCCATCATATAGCTGGAATATTGCTGAGTGTGGCGTTAAACAAAAAACAAACAAACAAAATAACCCTTTAAATATCTTATTCTTACTCTTGACTCTAAATAGCAGTTTATGCAAAAGACGTTTGCGTCCACTAACCTGAACTTGGCTCTTAGCATTTTTTTCAGTCCATTTTAGTATTATCGTAAGGCATTTTATTAGCTGATCTTATAGCCCCGATGGAATTTTACTAGACTCGGGCTTCGGACGAGTGGCTACGGTTGCACTGAAATAGTGGTCAAAATTAAGGATGTATTCAAGGGTTTTAAAATAAAATAATAAAGACATATTTGAAAACACGAAGAACCATGAGACTGTTTGATTCTACTACTGGTGAACCTAACCCTCCTGGTGTTCCTTGTTCCAAAACATATTTAAGACGTGCTTCTCCAGAGTTTCGACTCCCAGGGGCTAATTATATATTCAAATATAAAAAAAACTCTCTCATTAAAATCAGCTTTTTACTCAGATCTGATAGCTCTCTGCATGAAGATTTGCCAGTCCCTCCATAGGAAGTTGTGAAGTCCGTTACATTAAATTAGCAGTGATGGTTGAGGGGGGTCATCATTTATTGATTGAGGACCACAGTTATCAGAAAGGAAAACCTAACAACTTGCTATACAGAGTTATGTCCCTTTGTTGCCCGAATCCGCTGGTCACAGTACTAAAGGACTTAACAGTCTCAGGACTAAACCTTTGTTTTGTTGACAACACTTATTGATGTTTACTGTTTACTATTTACATCTTAAGTTGGCATCAATGTAATGTCATCAGGTTAGGTCAGTTGTGATACATCAACAGTCTGAGTTATCCCCAAATTGTGTTGTTTTCCCAGTATTGCATCAAGACACGCAAGACTTACCTCAAAACCAGTCTCAAGGATAGCCCCATTGAGCTGACGGACCTGTACATCGGCAGCACGCTCAACATCCTTGGCCGACAGATCGTCATCAAGGACTACGGCGACGTCTACACCAGGAACAGACTCTCCAGCAAGAAGGAGAAGTATGTGTATCTGGGTTTGCTCAGATGCCAACCATTGCACTTTTGGCATAATAATTACGATTTGGGACCTAAAAGTTAAAAACAGTAAATTGTCACATGATGAATTTTATGAATGTAGAGCTTTGACGATGTGTTTCAGTTATGTCTAGGCCGAACGAAAATGTTGAAGTTAAAACCTGCACTTGTTTTTACGGGGCACGGGTTGCCCAGTCGTCTAAGGCACGGTGGTTTGCTGTGCAGAGTTGCGTCCCTTGGGCACGCCAGAAACCTATGATTGTGGGTTCCAATCCTGGTTTGCCCCGATTATGTTTCTAGGTTTGTCAGCACCATACCCGTGCCCGTGGGTTTCACCGAAGTGGTAAACGTCTGATTAAGCTGACACGCCGTGATATAACTGGAAAACTGTTAGAATGGGCGTGAACCCCAACTCACTCACTCACTTGTGTTTACGTGACATACACAGATTACTCCAAAGCTTCGACCAGGGTTGGCATCTCTGGATGTAGGTGAACAGCAGGCATAGTCTTCAAAGATGTTTCATCAAAGTGATAAACAGCTTAGACCTGCATCACCAGGCTGACACCATGATATCACTAAAATACTGTCCCAAGCAGCAGTAAAACCAGTTCACTCACTCACTCTTGAATACCTCTTTCTGATGGAAAACTACAGATCTAAAACCTACAGGAAATCTAGTCTTATCTGTCAATACACAATGCCATTTAGAAAGTGGTTAAATGGTCATATTTGGGATTACAATTTCTTAGTAAAGTACAGATTCTAGTACTTTTTGGGTTGTATCCCATCCAGGATTCGAGCCCACACTGCCGGGGTGAGGCACCTAATCGCCAGCACCCAAAGTCAGCGATCTAACCCACTCAGCCACCGAGGCTTCCACAAAATTAGTCTGACAACTGGTAGTCTAGATCACATACTTTGTGTACCCCTCTGACAAGTGTAATTTTGCACAGCTCCCATGGCCAAAAGCTATGAATACACCTAATCTTTGTGTGCTGGCGATAAGGTGCCTCACTCTGGCAGTGTGGGTTTGAATCCCGGACGGGACTCAACCCAAAAAAGTGTGAGAATCTGGAAGAAAGTGTTATCCCAAATATAACATTTTCTATATTCTTATCTGGAAATGATTTTGTTTCTAAAACACAAAAGGTGTGTATTTATTGGCATCAGTTATATATTTTGTAGTATTTATGATTGAGAGGTTAACAGATTTCAATTTGTTTTCCAAGGACCCTGGGAGTGGTTAAGCCAGATGCTGTCAACAAGGCTGGACAGATTCTAGACAACATCTACCGCAATGGGTTCCAGATCTCACAGATGAAGATGTGTCGACTTGACCGTAACGAGGCATTCGAGTTTTACCAGGAACACAAAGGAAAACCATTTTTAGAGTGAGTATATTGACAGACCAGTTGTGTGCATGTTCCAGACACCAGACACCAGATATGACTACACAGAGGGCACCCATGATACAGCTCTACTGCTGTTGTGTTTTCTCTCTCTAGTCTCAGTGGACTGCCTCCGTGGTCTAGTTGAAGAGCATCCGCCCGCAGAGCGGAAGGTCCGGGGTTTGAGACCCCGGACCTGTCATACCAAAAGACGTTAAGAGATGGTACTTGTTTCCCTGCCTGGCGCTCGGCATTAAAGGACTAAAACAAAGACTGGTCGGCTCGGAGTCAGTATGCTCTGTGGGGTATTCATGTTAAACTGCAGCATGGTATCTCAGTGGGCTGGCACTATAAAATTGGCATTAGTCCAGACTAGTACAAGCAGCCACACACACATGCATGTCGTTTTTAGTGCAATAATCTTGGACGCGACGTTAAACCCCCTCTACTGCTGATATCTTCAATTTACCATATAATGGACAGTTGTTATCGATATGATAAACCTACCCATGAACTCGGTATTACAATCTGATAGGTACCTGTGCAACTGACGTCACCGAGCAAGAACTACTGTTTTCGTGATCATTAAATTATAGTCTGATGTTCCCAATAAGTTCACTCAAACATTGTCATCTTCACGAGGCAAGAGAGTTAAGTCCAGTTTCCACCCTTGCTGAACTATGCTGGAATTCCTGGGCTCGATCGTAGCACCACCAGTGGCTATTATGAGTTATGTCCCTTCTTTGCCTCTCCTATGGACCAATCAGATTCCACCTCTCGTATCATCACTTGTATTTGCTTCAAACAAAATGGTGGCGCCCAGTTAAGGCGATCTGATCGATAATCAAGATCTATATTGTGATAAAAGGGGTCTTACATCGCGAAGTGCATCAAATCACATGGGCACCTTGATTAAAAGCATGAAAAGATTTGGCAAATAGCTGGTGGTGCACATGCTTTGCAAATCCTGCAATTGATAGAAATGTGCATGAACCAGATTTCGATTCTGTTGCGCGATTTTGATTCGACTATGCATAGACTTGTTAATCCAGCCAAAATGTAATTCCATAATTCCAGCCTAGTTCGGCAAAGGTGGAAACTGGACTTTTATAGTCAGTTAACTCTCTTGCCTCGGGAAGATGAAACATTGTGTACATACAGTTTTTAAATATTGGCAAAATCGTCTACGGCGCCGTGATTAGCTGTGTTGTGTTGTGCCTGTTGGGCACGCCAGAAACCTATGATTTTTGTGTTCGAATCCCGGTTAGCCCCGATAATGTTTCTAGGTTTGTCAGCACCCTACCCGTGCTCGTGGGTTGCACCGAAGTTGTAAACGTCTGAGACCTGCATCACTTCGGGCTTTCCTCCCACATTAAGCTGACACGCCATGATATAACTGGAATACTGTTTAAAGCGGCGTTAAACCCAACTCACTCACTGTGATATAACTGGAATACTGTTCAAAGTGGCATTAAACCAAACTACCTCACTCACTGTTTTTCATGTCAACTAACATGTTTATCTCAATGGGTCGCCTGTCAAAAGTTGATATGTTCATGTGTTATATGTTATTAATAATTCAAGTGAAGATCACATGTATGTGCATACAGTAACTAGAACCGTATGTACAGTATGTTTGCCTTGATCACATTCCAGTGCTCTGCTGAACTACGTAACCAGTGGTCCTGTCATCGCCCTAGAGCTGGTGGGGGAGAATGCTATACAGAGATGGAGGGACGCTATCGGACCTACCGACCCCACCGTGGCCCGCAGCGAGGCACCCAACAGCATCAGGTCGCAGTATGGCACAGGTAGGGGAATTGTCAACAGTATCAGGTCGCAGTAGGGCACAGGTAGGGGAATTGTCAACAGTATCAGGTCGCAGTATGGCACAGGTAGGAGAATTTTCAACAGTATCAGGTCGCAGTATGGCACAGGTAGGGGAATTGTCAACAGTATCAGGTCGCAGTATGGCACAGGTAGGGTAATTGTCAACAGTATCAGGTCGCAGTATGGCACAGGTAGGGGAATTGTCAGCAGTATCAGGTCGCAGTATGGCACAGGTAGGAGAATTGTCAACAGGATCAGGTCGCAGTATGGCACAGGTAGGGGAATTGTCAACAGTATCAGGTCGCAGTATGGCACAGGTAGGGTAATTGTCAACAGTATCAGGTCGCAGTATGGCACAGGTAGGGGAATTGTCAGCAGTATCAGGTCGCAGTATGGCACAGGTAGGAGAATTGTCAACAGGATCAGGTCGCAGTATGGCACAGGTAAGAGAATTGTCAACAGCATCAGGTCGCAGTAGGGCACAGGTAGGGGAATTGTCAACAGTATCAGGTCACAGTATGGCACAGGTAGGGGAATTGTCAACAGTATCAGGTCGCAGCATGGCACAGGTAGGGGAATTGTCAACAGTATCAGGTCATGGTATGGCACAGGTAGGGGAATTGTCAACAGTATCAGGTCGCAGTATGGCACAGGTAGGGGAATTGTCAACAGTATCAGGTCGCAGTATGGCACAGGTAGGGGAATTGTCAACAGTATCAGGTCACAGTATGGAACAGGAAGGGGAATTGTCAACAGTATCAGGTCGCAGTATGGCACAGGTATGGGAATTGTCAACAGTATCAGGTATCAGTATGGCACAAGAAGGGGAATTGTCAACATCAGGGGTCAGTATGGCACAGGTAAGGTAATTGTCAACAGTATCAGGTCGCAGTATGGCACAGGTAGGGGAATTGTCAACAGTATCAGGTCGCAGTATGGCACAGGTAGGGTAATTGTCAACAGTATTTGGTCGCATTATCGCACAAGTAGGGGAATTGTCAACAGTATCAGGTGGCAGCATGGCACAGGTAGGGGAATTGTCAACAGTATTAGGTCGCAGGATGGCACAAAGTAGGGGAATTGTCAACAGTATCAGGTATCAGTATACTGATATTGCATGACAGAATTCATGTTTAACTTGTGCTGAGGAAAAACATTAACGGTCAGGTCAAAATGACACACATGCCAAGCTTATAATCTCTTTGTCTGACTGTCTCTAAATCCCTGAGATCATATGTCATGCAATGTCTCTGTTTCAGACAAGACAATGAATGCTTGCCATGGGTCTGACAGTCCCTCATCATCTGCTCGTGAGCTGGAGTTCTTCTTCCCATCGTCCGGCCCCACCCGACGGAACACCGCCGTATTTCAGGACAGCACCTGCTGCATCATCAAGCCCCACGCGGTCAAGTCAGGTACCCACAATCCTGCTGTCAACTCACACGCTATCTGAGGGAGACACACACTTAACCGACGTCATCTCTCAGCAAGTCCTCACATATCAGTCACATGCTCAGCAGCCACAATTATTTTTTCTTCTGACATTTGGGTCAAGAAGTTTCCACGAAAAATATCGCGCTACGTATTATAACGTGACCTATGTATTGTGATACGTATCCTATGGTGACCTTCCTTATGATACAGGAAGGTCACCATGGGATATGAATCACGATACATAGGTCGCAATAGAATACGTACCCCGATACATGTCCTATCATGACCTTCCTGTATCGTTTCACCCCTGGACACAGTCTTAAACCCAACTCACTCTTCCCAATCCTGACTTGCAGGTGTTGCTGGGAAGGTGATCAGTGGCATCACCGATGCAGGGTTTGACGTGACGGCCATCGAGATGTTCCACATGCAGAAGGCGAACGCGGAGGAGTTCTACGAGGTGTACAAGGGTGTTGTCCAGGAGTACAATGGCATGGTGGCCGAGCTGACATCAGGACCCTGCATCGCACTGGAAGTTCGGGCTCAGGATGCAGCCAAAACATTCCGAGAGATGGCTGGACCAGCAGATCCTGTGAGTTGCACCTCGCTTTCTTTCAGTTGAAAATGTTCCTCTCACAGCTTTCACGGTGTGATTGGGATCTAGTTTGTCCCATGAATCTCAAGGAGTGTTCCATACCTTTCAGGGGATGAGATAATTGGTCTAATTCTCTGCCATCAGCTCGAACTAAGTAAGTTCACTGTGTGCAGTCGCTTGTCCTGCTTGTATGCGCCAGAATTCCTTGTTATCATCACCTTCGGCATCTTGAAACATGGATGCAGTCGGTGGGCCAGTCATCTAAGATGCAGCTATGTGCTGTGCCAAGTTGTGTCCCTTCCATATTCCAGGATCCTTTGATCATAGCTTCAAAAGTCCTGATTTGCCTTGATAATATTGATGGTTTGTCAGCCCTATACATATAAATGTCCAAGACCTGGGCCCCATTCCACAAGCGGATCTTAGCGCTCCGACTGTTGTCAGACTATGTTGAAGTATGGGAGTTCTGATCATCTTAGCACTCTGACTGCTATAAGTCTATGTTAAAATATGGGAGTTCTGATCATCTTAGCACTCTGACTGCTGTCAGTCTATGTTAAAGTATGGTAGTTCTGATCATCTGAGCACTCCGGCTGCTGTCAGTCTATGTTAAAGTATGGTAGTTCTGATCATCTGAGCACTCCGGCTGCTGTCAGTCTATGTCAAAGTATGGGAGTTCTGATCATCTTGGCACTCTGACTGCTGTAAGTCTATGTTAAAGTATGGGAGCTCTGATCATCTTGGCACTCCGACTGTTGTAAGTCTATGTCAAAGTATGGGAGTTCTGATCATCTTGGCACTTCGACTGCTGTAAGTCTATGTCAAAGTATGGGAGTTCTGATCATCTTAGCGCTCTGACTGCTGTAAGTCTATGTTAAAATATGGGAGTTCTGATCATCTTAGCGCTCTGACTGCTGTAAGTCTATGTTAAAATATGGGAGTTCTGATCATCTTAGCGCTCTGACTGTTGTCAGTCTATGTTAAAGTATGGGAGTTCTGATCATCTTAGCACTCTGACTGCTGTCAGTCTATGTTAAAGTATGGGAGTTCTGATCATCTTAGCATTCTGACTGTTGTCAGTCTATGTTAAAGTATGGGAGTTCTGATCATCTTAGCACTCTGACTGCTGTCAGTCTATGTTAAAGTATGGGAGTTCTGATCATCTTAGCACTCTGACTGCTGTCAGTCTATGTTAAAGTATGGGAGTTCTGATCATCTTAGCATTCTGACTGTTGTCAGTCTATGTTAAAGTATGGGAGTTCTGATCATCTTAGCACTCTGACTGCTGTCAGTCTATGTTAAAGTATGGGAGTTCTGATCATCTTAGCATTCTGACTGTTGTCAGTCTATGTTAAAGTATGGGAGTTCTGATCATCTTAGCGCTCTGACTGTTGTCAGTCCATGTTAAAGTATGGGAGTTCTGATCATCTTGGCACTCTGACTGCTGTAAGTCTATGTTAAAGTATGGGAGCTCTGATCATCTTAGCACTCCGACTGCTGTAAGTCTATGTTAAAGTATGGGAGTTCTGATCATCTTAGCGCTATGATCGCTTGTGGAACGGGGCCCTGCTCTTTAGCCTCTCCTTCCACATTAAGCTGCTGCTGTTCACATGCCCTACCTACTCAACAGAATATATTTACAGTTTTGAAATTACACACAGTTGGACCAGGTAACAATGATACGATGGAGACCTTCCTGGGTTCTTTCTAGACCTGCTCAGAGGCTGATATTCAGCCCCAAGTCTGAAGCAAATGTCTGTAAAATTTCCCCAATTGGAATTAAATGTTCAAGTCATGTTATAGCTTATGCTTTGGCTCTGCCGAGGTGACTTGCATTTCACTGACAACAGGACCAATAAACAAGAAGATGCTGTAATATTGGTCACGGAATGAAAGATTAAAATTCCCCTGAATTTCACATTTAAGAAAATCCAAATTTTAAACGTAGTTACTTTTTTTCCAAATTTGTCAGCCAAGAGCACTTAGTTTGGTACCTAGATAAATACCTATACAAGATAGTCACGAGCACATCCAGGTAACTCACTGAATGTGTAACACGGTGTCATGTTTTCCCAGGAGATTGCTCGACACCTGCGACCACGGACACTACGGGCGCTGTTTGGGACAGACAAAGTACGCAATGCTGTCCACTGTACAGACTTGCCTGAAGATGGCCTCCTTGAGGTGAGTTGCTTCCAAGTTATTGTTGGATTGAATTCAAGCTGCCATCATCTGAGAGTTGTTCATACAAATAGTATGTGTTACAACATACGTGGGGTTTGTAGGTTAGAATAGGTTCTCGGACCGCCTCTGTGGTCTAGTGTTAGAGCGTCCGCCCAGAGAGCGGAAGGTCTGTGGTTCAATCCCCGGCCGCAGCATACTAAAAGATGTTAAGATGATACTTGTTGTTACCCTGTCTGGCGCTCGGCATTAAAGGGCTAAATCAAGGACTGGTCGGCTCGGAGTCAGTAAACTGTGTCTGAGTGGGGTATTCCTGTTAAACTGCGGCATGGTATCTCAGTGGGCTAGCGCTATAAATCGGCATAAGTCCGGAATAGTACAAGCAGCCACACACACACACACGTGCATGCACGTCCCTATATAAGTGAAATAATCTTGGATGCGACGTTAAACCCAATTTCACCTCACCTAGAATAGGTTCTCAGCAACCTTTACTTGTAGTACAAGATGGCTGAGTTGACGGTGGTCACAGTTGACTCAGTGACCTGGTTGATAGTGTGTCAGTGTGTGCCGATAGGGTGGGTCATTGCTTATAATATAAACTTGATTGTTTGGTCCAGACTTGATTATTTACAGGCTGCCGTCGTATACCTGGAATATTTTGCTGTGGCATTAAACAAATGTGACATCATAAACAGTGATTGTTGTTGCCTACCAGTTGATTGGTTGATAATATTCATCATCAAAGACTGGCTTCCAGGAGAGATCTCTTTGCTGAGATCAAGTGAGATATCACTGCCTTGAAATTCCATTATGATGCTTTGCAGTCCAGTTACCATGATATCACAATCTAATGATATCACTAGTCTTGGCCACTGAAACTGGTTGGCTGTAATTTTGCACTTAAGACATTACGTATAACTGTTATGAATTGAAGAAGTTGCAAGAATGGTTTTGGATGATAAATTAAATCCTACCCTTGTGTCTTTTGATATCAAATTTATCAACACCAGTCAATAAAAGGTTGAAACTTTTATCAACTAATTGTGATATATTTGATATCCAAAGACCCTCGGGTGAAATTCCCGATACTGGTGTGTGCAGTGAAACCCTTTAGTTAGGACACCCGTGGTGAGGTGAGGTGAAATGGGGTTTAACGTCGCGTCCAAGATTATTGCACTTATATAGCGACGTGCAAGTACGTGTGTGTGTTTGTGTGGCTGCTTGTACTAGTCCGGACTGATGCCGATTTATAGTGCTAGCTCACTGAGATACCATGCAGCAGTTTAACATGAATACCCCACTCAGACACAGTATACTGACTCTGAGCCGACCAGTCCTTGTTTTAACCCGTTAATGCCGAGCGCCAGACAGGGTAACAACAAGTACCATCTTTTAACGTCTATTGTTATGACGCGGTCGGGGATCAAACCCCGGACCTTCCGCTCTCCGGGCGGACGCTCTACCACTAGACCACGGAGGCGGTACGTATATTAGTGGTGTGTAAAGAGTCAATGTTATGGACTTAAAATGCAGAAAATAGTTTACAAAGTATTACAAATGTAACATTGTATTTCATCATAAGTAGGTTATTTTTATCTTTCTGACGCTTGTTCTTTTCAGGTGGAATATTTCTTCAAGATCCTGGGCCGTTAATCATCCCATACGATGCCAAAAATCATCCTGAAGAGTTTTGTACATAGACCCTGTGATATATGTTTACTGTGTAATCTCAATGTGTAAATTCATAAATTATTTACATTATTTAGAAACTTGAAATACAAAACATTCAATTCAAGCAGTAGCCTCTTCATCGTTTTAATGTCAGCGTTTTGGAAGTGAATATACCTGAAGGTATTTGACATGTTGGAAACTATGTGATGGACAAGGTATACCTGGTAATCCTCCTGATTGAGACGCTTACCTCTTTCAAACATAGGCTTAGTCATCACATTAACATACTGCTTTTATTTATTGTATATGTATCTGCAGATGTTTTACAATTCCAGGTGTTTTTAGATAAATTTCAACATGAAGTACCTGTACATTTGTAATGAAGACAATACAGAATTTATAGAAAATGTGTGTTTGGTTCTGATTTTGTGGAGTTGGAGTTCAAGGGCATCCCTATACCTTGACCTGTTTGACTTGGGACTATCCCTATCTCTTGACCTGTTTGACTTGGGACTATCACTATCTCTTAACCTGGTTGACTATAGTGCATCCCTATCCATGGACATGCTTGATTCAAGGTCAACCCTTTCCATGGACCTGCTTGACTCAAGGTCACTCCTTTCCCTAGACCTGCTTGACTCAAGGTCATCCCTTTCCATGGACCTGCTTGATTCAATGTCAACCCTTTCCATTGACATGCTTGACTCAAGGTCATCCCTATCCATGGACATGCTTGACTCAAGGTCAACCCTTTCCATGGACATGCTTGACTCAATGTCAGCCCTTTCCATTGGCCTGCTTAATTCAAGGTCAACCCTTTCCATGGACCTGCTTGATTCAATGTCAACCCTTTCCATGGACATGCTTGACTCAATGTCAACCCCTTACATGGACATGCTGGCCCGTGAAGATCCGGGGTAGAATAGGTCTTCAGCAACCCATGCTTGCCGTAAAAGGTGACTATACTTGTCATAAAAGGCGACTAACGGGATCGGGTGGTCAGGCTCACTGACTTGGTTGATGCATGTCATCGTATTCCAATTGCGTGGATCGCTGCTCATGATGTCAGTCACTGGATTGTCTGGTCCAGACTCGATTATTTACAGACCGCCGTCATATAGCTGGAATATTGCTGAGTGCGGCGTTAAACAACAAACCAAAAACCAAAAACATGGACATGCTTGATTCAATGTCAACCCTTTCCCTAGACCTGCTTGATTCAATATCAACCCTTTCCCTAGACCTGCTTGATTCAAGGTACAATGTGTGAAGCCCATTTCTGGTGTCCCCAACCGTGATATTGTTGGAATATTGCTTAAGATCACAATGAGGGACTGATTATGGTTCTACTCCGCTTTTAGCTATCAATGTGATTTTGTATATTTCCAACTTGCTTGGCACTATGTGTGTGAAAGTAACCACATTAAAGAATGTATTGGGGAATTACAAGTTTGTTCAGTGACACACCAAGACGTCTACCAAACCAATGTTATATTGTGCAACGCCGTGATATAACTGAAATAATGTTTAAAGCAGCATTAAACCCTACTCACTCACTGTATTGTGCAAGCAATGCTTCTTTGTGAAGTAATCATGCATTCTGTTGATAAATTATGTTTACCATACTCTAATGATGGCACTTGTGTTCACAATCCCGTTTGGTTACAACTTGAGGAAAATCCCAAGGTTCAGAAGTCATGAAATATGCTGATGAAATGATGTCATTACAGGTGTTTTAGCAAGTTGACAAATGCAGGTCCATCAACACGTATATGGGGGTGCTCAGCTCATATAAACCAGTGTCCAAAAGAAACGATTACAACTTATTTTCAAAATTGTTTTTTACTAAGTGAATTGTCAAGTATGAAAACATGCCAATTCGTATTGCACATCCCAAACACAGCATAGTCGATAAAAAATACTGGGAACACGTGATCACTTCCGGGAAAAAACGTAAATTTCGTGAAAGTGACATTTCCCTCTCTAGCATGTTCTGCACGTGCAGAAAAACTGTATAAAACGGCTGATCAGACACGTTGATATCACAGCAACAAAAAGAACACGTTTGACAGCCATCGAGAGAGAGAGAGCCGTTGGAATGGTCCAACAAGGAGCGTCACACGTCGACGTCGCCAGAAGGTTGGGCTGCGCACGCATCACTATCACCAGGTTGATGCAGCGGTTACGTCAGACAGGTCAGACGTCAGACAGGCCCAGGAGTGGAAGTCCACGAGTAACCACGCCCCGTGGAGATCGTTACATCCGGGTATTACACCTGAGGAACCGCACCGTAACAGCGACGTCCACGGCGGCTACAGCACTGGGACACAGGATCAGTCGACAGACCGTCTACAGGAGACTACGGCAGTATGGTATCCGGCCACGTCATCCCTACCGCGGACCGCTCCTGACGCCTCGACACCGGAACAACAGACTGATCTGGGCCAGGCGAGTTCGACGTTGGAAACGGCGGGACTGGGCACGTGTTATGTTCTCCGATGAGAGCAGATTCCTCATCTTCAGAAACGATGGACGGCAGCTTGTATACCGACGATTTGGTGAACGTTTGGCGCCTAACTGTATCCAATAGGTCCGGCCGTTTGGAGGTGGAGGGTTAATGGTTTGGGGTGGCATATGTGGTGACGTCAAAACGATGCTTGTCGTAATTCGTGGAAACCTGAATGCACAGCGTTATCTTGATGACATCCTACGGCCTGTTGTGGTGCCCTTTATTCAGCAACAGCCTCGTGGACTCCTTTTCCAACATGACAATGCAAGGCCACACACAGCAAGATTGACACAGAACTTCCTTGCCAACGCCAACGTACAGGTTTTGCCATGGCCCGCATGTTCACCGGACATGAATCCCATCGAGCACTTATGGGACCACCTCGATCGGCAAATCCGACGTCGCCGTGTGCCTCCAGTCAACGTCCAGGACTTGGAACGATGTCTCCTCGAGGAATGGCAACGCATCACTCCCAACGTCATCAGACGTTTGACGTCATCAGTCCGTAGGCGTGTTCTGGCATGTATTGATGCTCACGGTGGACATACCCCCTACTGACTTGACTTTGAGACGTGTGGTGTGACATTTCCCGTTGTTTCTGTGATCAGTGCTCTAACGAAATGTTCATTTTTCGACCCCACCCATCTTTCAAGGCTTGTCATATTGGTTGTACAGATTTTATTGAAATGAAACTTTTGTACAGATGTTGCGAAAGGATTTCTCAAAAGCATAACACCAATCCTAAACTTCTGCATTGTTTAGTTTTTCTTTTATGTCGTTGCAAACAGGTGGTATCGTTTCTTTTGGACACTAGTTTATAATGTAATTATCAACGGCAGTTTTAACTTCACTGTGACGACACTTTAAGAAATAATGCGATACTATTACAACACAGGTACCACTAGGTCCGACATATAGGACAATGTTTATCGAGATCATTATTTCAAATTGTTCGAATTTAATAAATGCACAATAACCAAACTCCCAACAACTTGAATTTTCGGTGCCTTACAAACTCCATGTAAATCACTCCCCTTGATGCTTTGTCTTATATTGCATAGTGTCACATTTACAGTTGTTTACTTATCAAGTAATGTATTGTGTTCAATTCCAGATAATATTCATAATATCACATAATAATATGGTAACTTCTTTAAGTAGGATCCTTGTGTTGCCATTATGAAGACACCGATTGGAATAGGTCATCAGCAACCCATGCTTATCGTAAGAGGCTACTAACGGGATCGGGTGGTCAGACTCGCTGAATTGGTTTATGCATGTCATCGTATCCTAATTGCGTAGATAAATGTTCATGATGTCAATCACTGGATTTTCTGGTCAAGACTTGATTATTTGCAGACCGCTGTGATATAAGCTGGAATGTTGGTGAGTGCGGCGTTAAACAACAAACAAACAGTACATATACCCTGCCCATTTTAGACTGTTCTGATTACCTGACACACAGTCACGATGTACCTGGGGCGGTCGGGTGGCCTAGTGGTTTAAGCGTTCGCTCGTCACGCCGAAGACCCGGGTTCGATTCCCGACATGAGTACAATGTGTGAAGCCCATTTCTGGTGTCCCCTGTCGTGATATTGCTGGAATATTGCTAAAAGCGGCGTAAAAACCAAGAAAGACATTGCAGTGGAATTTGACGGAATAACTTAAAATAAACTTAAGTTGCTTGTAATTGGAAAATCTCCGAAACCTCGGTGTTCTAAGAATGTGAGAAGCATGACTACCGTACCAACACAAACGCTTAGATGACAGGTGAAATATCCACTGATTGGATTCGTGATGGCGGACGTTTCCGAGCCAAAACGTATATAATGAACACCGGATATAACGAACTGATTTCTCTGATCCCTTGTAGTTCGCTATATCCATGTTCTACTGTATTGGTAATTCCAATTAATCCGGGAATAATTATACCTACCAGTTTGTGAAGGACGCATCTCGATCATGTCAATCAATAAGAACATAGAAACACGTGTCATAGAACTAGAGTGTGACATGAAGACTTCAAGGTCAAGGACAGCCATCTGGTGTGAGGAACACAATGGTTTTGACGAAAATCCTTAGTCAACAATCAAATTGTCACAGATTCCATTGGATACAGATATTCTTTATTTTCTCCGGTTTATACAGAGTACATGTTATACAATGGTAAGACAACCTTTATGGCATAAATACATTGCTAAAGGTGTAAATAGAAGGACAATTAGCTTCTTTTTTATTTACAGGTGTAAGCTTGCTGACTTGCTAATGTATTGTAGGCATCTTCCTATCTCGTAATAGATGGAAACCTCAGGGTTTTTTTGCTTTTTCCTAGTAAGACCTTGTATGAGGGTTTACCTTTAGAAGTAAGACCTTATGAGCTGAGTAGCAGATGAAATTTGGACTTTCAATGTTCTAAAATTGAAGACAAGAAATGAAACCCTTTCATTATGGATGACAGAATCGGACCTGCAACTTCACATATTGTGTTAAGTTTTGTATCTCACTGTTTTCCCGCCAAGGCAGGTGATGAAATGTTCAATTTTACTTGTCATGACTTAGTTGTGTCCATGCTGCATGTGGTTTTTGCTCCTGCTCTCTTTGATCGAAATTATACCGGACACATGTCATATTTATCATGCTTTCTGTCCATGGATTCACAAAAGTGGTAAACGTCTAAGACCTGCATCACTTGGGTCTTTCCTCCCACACCAGGCCGACAGGTCGTAATATAACTAAAATACTGTTCGGATACTCGGATTGGTCAGTCGATGTGTTTTCAAAGGAAGGTTAGGTTCCTTGTCTGTTCATTTGAGAGCTCGTTGAATGACACCACGTAACCTTGCATTGATGTCCTTATCCTTCACCTCCATCAAGGTCATCTCAACTGTAAATTCCTCACTCTGCTTGACGCCAAATATTGGGAGATGTTGGGCATAGTAGAGGGACTGTGATCTTAGTATCTTCTCCTTGTTGACATCAATGAATGCCACTTTTCCCATCACTGCATCATACACGACCCCATACGTCAGCATCGACATTCCTGGCTTGTTGGCAAATGGCTGATCCAAACATTTATAGTTACCATCTTGTGTGCATATTGTTTTGTGAGTGTTACAGTAGATGACTTGTACTCCACAACCAGAATAATCACATAAACGTTCTCCTCTGTCAGCGTTAGATGGCTCAGAAAATCCAATTTCAAATATACGTGTTCGTATATTTGCTGCCGTTTGTGTTATCTTAGCATGAGTCTGAAAGTAGTACGGATCTGTGGGGTCAGAAGACACGTGGGGATATGAGGGAACCTTGACCTTGGAAGTAGTGACAGGTGCAGAGGTCAGCGTGTAAGGAAGGGTCATTGAGCCGCAAGTTCCGCTGTACTTGTTAAACTTCCTCGTGGTGGATGGCGGGTTGCGAGCAGGGTGGTTGACCATGTGTCTCTCAGTGACTTCAACCAGATCGAAGTTTGCCCGCCCGACATCAAACTTGAGTGGTGGACCTATTAAAAGACAAATTTACTTAACTGCAAATAGCTGTGATTGCTACTGTGGCGTTTGAGATATAAAACTTTCGTTGTGACATGTGCAATACATACAAAAGACGGATTCGTAGGCAATAGCACAACAGTTGAGAACGAAATGAAATATATAATAATTTTAGGAAAAAAGTACTTTGGAATCAGCCATAAAAATATTCATGAGTAAACAGATTCGCCTAAGAGTAATGGTTATAATTGTGTTGAAACAAATACATGTTTATATTCCTAAATCTTTGGCAATAGTCAGGATTACAAGATATACAACACTTCTGGCTCCTATATTATCGCTTTTCGTCAAAGGACAAACATGTAACTACTTTTAATGTCTTTTATGTCAAAACATGTTGGCTACAGATAAGAGATTTGAATTAATTCTTTATTAAGTATATATTAATTAAAATTATGATTGAAACTGACAGGTTGCAATAATCATTTGCCCGACTGACACTCATTGTCTCGCCAAAATGAATTTGAAATATTACAATAGTGGTTTGTTTATGCACGAGCTGACAGAGAGAAAACAGGGTTGGAATAAACCTATTTTGTTCCAGCCAAATGACATCCAATGAATTGCAGCCCTTCGAGAAAAGTTTGTCACTGTTCCCCCTGACATGGCATCAAATAACATAGCCGATATATATCAGCATCTCAACATTATTTCTTTTATTTCTGCCATATAGAAGGCCAGTGTTTATTGACGTAAAAATATACCAAAACCACGCATCAGTACTTCCAAGTTTCGACATTACTCTGAAACCTGAAGACATGTCCATTTCTCTTTTGTCTGGGATTTCACCCCCCCCCCCCCCACACACACACACGCGTACCCGGGTCCTACTCAGTATCCACCCGCCAACCCGGGTACCCACAGGGCTACCCACGCCCGTGGTTAGTCACGTGATAAATTGTTTAATGACAAAAGCTCACTATAGCTCAGTGGTTACACTACAAGTCGCTAATGTTCGCAATTCTTTCTGACGATGCACACATTCCTTTTAACTTGTATATGTTTGAGTAAAGATAAAGCTTCAGTAAACTTCAGTGAATGCATGATCTGATTGTTAGATACATGTATCTAAATACTTTCATCCAGGCCTGCCGTAAAACAATTACCAATCAGACATTTTGTTCCTCTTGAGACTTGCAGTGGGTACCCGGGTAGGGTCGGGTACCCGGGTAGTAAATTTGCACTCGTCCCAGCCCTAGAGCGTCAGACATCAAACAAATATCGATTTTCATTTTGCCAAATGTATGAGTGGCGTTCGCGGGTGTTCGGGTCATGCTTACCCTTTTTGCGAACACCTGGTGTTTTCATTGATTGTCAGTAAACCATTCATATAATTATCATTGCTATTTTGCCTTTCAGCCCAAATGGAATCTGTTTTGGCAGAAAATCGAGACTGGTTATTATCTGGCATTGACGTCTTATGTACGCTGTGATGGTCGTTGTATACTTACAGTTGAGTTTGACAGGCACGCCGGTTCTATACTGACTACTAACTAAGGTCAAGTCACTGGTCAGTCTCACACCTGTAACATATTATCTACTGTTAAATGACAAACATAAGTGATATATCGTTCGTCATTTAATCCATATTGATTGAAACCATAACTATACAATTCGTACTATAATATATTCCATTATTATTAATTAGAAATATATTTTACACACATAAACGGGGCGGTGGGGTAGCCTAGTGGAAGACCCGGGTCCGATTCCATATATGGGTACAATGAGTGAAGCCCATTTCTGCACACACACACACCCACACCCACCCACGTACTGACTATACACATAAACACATGGACACATTCTATTGTAATGATTACTATAGTTTAACAGTCGTTAGGAACAGATCTAGACAATACACTGTTTACACAACAACCTGCTCTTTTCGTCCAAACCAAGACGATAACAAACATTTCTCTTTAAGAATAGTGACTTTAACAAACTATACCAACCTATTTTCTCTGCCAGCTCCTTAAATGTGTCAATTGTTATTTGTTGTGTTTTCCCTTCCTTCTCCAGAGATGTTATCGTCTAAACACACAACAACAATTAGAATGTGATGATGGAAATAACAACTGTAAAATGTCCATGTACGAATTGAGGTTTTTAAAAGTTTAGAATTGGGCGTGTTTTGTGTTCGTTTGTTCGTTCGTTTGCTCGCTCGCTCGTTCGTTCCTTCATTCGTCTTAAAGTGTAAATTAACAGTGACATGTAGGATTGTATCTGACGCTGTTACTGTTATCGTATACTGGTTATTGCTGAGGCGTCAACACGCCTATCCAAGGACCAGTGTTACAGATACTTACATCACTTCTCGCCTGAAGCTGTTTCTTTGCTAGGTCTGAAATATAACCAAAGTACGTCCCAGACAATCGCAAACTCTGTATATATTATTTCTCTTTCATGCCCTATCTAAAATAAAATAATGATAACATGTGTCCTCACAAAATGACAAAATTTGTGAAATATCGAAAGTTTCTCAACTCATGTATTTTGCAGGTATATATTTCAACAATGTCTAAGACAATTCATGATTTGTTGATATTTCAAAACGTCCTTGACATTTCATACTCTGACAACAAAGGTCAGACATATAGCTGATCACGTGCCTCCGATAATTACTCCCTGTTATTGTCCCTGAATGTTCGTAACACTTTCAAAGCATGACTTCCCTCCCGCTATTCTCGATCTTGGGGACTAAATTCAAACACGTAGAGACAGGGTTTTATATTACCTTGTTGTCAGGGGGTGAACACAGGGGAGCAGGCATCTCAACTGATGTTAATTATTTGAAGGCGATATGTGAGAGGTGTTTGTGAAACTAACAACCTGGAATAGGTATATTGCATTTGTTATCCTTACCTTTCTCTTTCACCTCAATCGTTAGCTTTTCTTTCAACACTTTCTCAGTCTGTGAAAATGTAAAATAAATTAAATACTTCAGTAGCCAAGATATAGTACCTCATCATCTAAGAACGCAGATGGATCCGTGACATTCTTAATTTTTATAGGAGAAACTGCTTACAACAACAAACAATATAAATCTTAATTTCTTCTACCTTCCAACAATGACAATTATTAACTGCTAAAAGTGGCTAATGATTTCTTTTTAACCACGAAAAGTATTTTATAACTCCTACACTCACCATCAGTGATCTCTTCTCAAGCTCATGGTACCTTCTCTGCAGATCCCCAATCTCGTTCTGGAGGAAAGCGTACTTTGATGTACCTAAATACAAAACACATGCACATACAATAACAAGGCTCTAAGACAGCTTGCACAGTTTGATTGGACAGACTATAGCCTTTAGTTTTCGTAAGATGCTTCCAGAAACCATCATATACTGTAAACTAGTTCAGCATTCCAGCTTTGTAGTGAACACATATTTGCAGCTGATCGTAGAGATAGTAACACATCAGCAACAAACAACTACTTGTTAATGCAAATTGTATGATTGGTTGTTTTACGACGCACTCAGCAATATTCCAGCTCTATGACGCAGGTCTGTAAATAATCGAGTCTAGACCAAACAATCAAGTGATTGACGTCATTAGCATCGATCCATATGATAACAAGACAAAGACTTACCTTGGTTATCCTGTTGCTGATGGGCCTGAGATTCCTGGTCCAGTGATGTAAGGAAGCAGCCAAAGGAGGCAATGTCAGTCTTGAGACTCTGGAGACCCTCTCTGGAGAACGCAACACCTGCTGCTGCTTCCTGCTGCTTCATGGCAGACACGTGCTCGGAGAGACAGGAGTCCACGCTCTGCATCATGGTGTCCTGGAGCTCCAGGTACTCTAGTGGTGTCAAGGTCAAGGCCTTCTCTATGTAGGCCAGGGAGGTGTTCAGGGACATCTGGGACGTCTCCAGTTCCTGCTGCTTCTCCCTGGTTCCATCTCTGATGTGCTCAAAGCAGGTGCTCAGGTCAAGGTCAAGTTCCTTCTCCCTCTGTTCGACAAGAGACTTCAGTTCAGACATTGTGTGAACCTTTAAAGTTTGCAGGGAACGGCATTTCTCATCAACCTTTTCTTCAATGCTGTTCATCTGTAGAATCGATTCATTTAAGGATTCTTGATGGATCAATAGTTGATTGTGTTTCGTTTTCATTTCAAGTTGCTTGGATTGAAATGCTTCGTCGACTTCTTGAACATCATGACCAGCATGATCGTCACGTGTACACCTTAAACATATCAGAACTCCACATGTCGCATCATAGACGTCAACAGGCCTTTGGTGTGTGGAGCAAACAGCATCCTTGGCTTCTATGGAGACTCCATCTTGTGCCAGTTGGTCGATTGTCTGAACTTTGTGACATTTTGTCATTTTGATATCACTGTGAGCCACTTGACAATTTTCACAAAACAGAGCCTCACACTGTTTACACCACACGACAGCCTGTCCGCCATCTTGTTTGTTAGTGCATTGCAACTCGGATGGACGATGAAGGACAGTTAGATTGAAGATCTCTCTTGCCCTGACTTTGTCCACTGGGAACTTGTGTTCTTCTTTATCAAATTCTTTGTGACAAGACGAGCATTTCAACGTCCCTGTCTCAGCAGCAGAAAGACAGACCTTGCATACAGCATGTAGACATGGCAGCAACCAGGGAGGAGGTCCTTGGTAGCAAAACTGTTGCTTGCAAATGCTGCACTTAGGAAAATGGTCCATATCTTCAACTGTAACTCTAGAAGGTGAAACCCATAACATCGTAACTGTGAGAAGTTGGTGAGTAAATAGTGAGTATGACATGCTTGTGTGGAATGGGAAAAAATCTTTTTTTTGTTTTTTTTACCAACAAGAAATCGAAGACGTTTCAGTTTTTGCACTTGTTGTATACACTTATTGATAATATGTTTTCAGATACTGATAAAAAACCCAGATATTTTGTTTTTAATTTGTGGTTTTCTTTGCAGGCTATTTCTTGCTTTATTTTTTCAACAGTCTAATTATTTTCTTTGTTTACAACATATGGCATGGGTGATTATATAGATATGTCGACAATACGACATCTGTATGACGGCATCATGTTACCCAGTGTGGAGAGTCCCACCAGGGAGACAATCCTGGGACGTTGGAAAATAACTCTGCCTCAGAATCACAACAGGGAGACGATCATGGGGCGTTGGGGAATAACTCTGCCACAGAATCACAACATGGAGACGATCATGGGGCGTTGGGGAATAACTCTGCCACAGAATCACAACATGGAGACAATCATGGGGCGTTGGGGAATAACTTTGCCACAGAATAACAAAAGGGAGACAATCATGGGGCGTTGGTAAATAACTCTGCCACAGAATCAAAACATGGAGACAATCATGGGGCGTTGGGAAAAACTCTGCCACAGAATCACAACACAGGGAGACAATCATGGGTCGTTGAGGAATAACTCTGCCACAGAATCACAACAGGGAGACAATCATGGGGCGTTGGGGAATAACTCTGCCACAGAATCACAAAAGGGAGACAATCATGGGGCGTTGGGCGAAAACTCTGCCACAGTATCACAACATGGAGACAATCATGGGGCTTTTTGGAATAACTCTGCCACATAATCACAAAAGGGAGACAATCATTGGGCGTTGGGGAATAACTCAGCCACAGTATCACAACAGGGAGACAATCATAGGGCGTTGGGAATAACTCTGCCACAGAATCACAAAAGGGAGACAATCATGGGTCGTTGAGGAATAACTCAGCCACAGAATCACAAAATGGAGACAATCTTGGGTCGTTGAGGAATAACTCTGCCACAGAATCACAACATGGAGACAATCATGGGTCGCTGAGGAATAACTCTGCCACAGAATCACAACATGGAGACAATCATGGGTCGTTGAGGAATAACTCTGCCACAGAATCACAACATGGAGACAATCATGGGTCGTTGAGGAATAACTCTTCCTCAGAATCAAAACAGGGAAAAAATCATGGGGCGTTGGGGAATAACTCTGCCACAGAATCACAACATGGAGACAATCAAGGGTCGTTGAGGAATAAATCTGCCACAGAATCACAACAGGGAGACAATCATGGGGCGTTGAGGAATAACTCTGCCACACAATCACAACATGGAGACAATCATGGGTCGTTGAGGAATAAATCTGCCACAGAATCACAAAATGGAGACAATCATGGGTCGTTGAGGAATAACTCTTCCACTGAATCACAACATAGAGACAATCATGGGGCGTTGGGGAATAACTCTGCCACAGAATCACAACATGGAGACAATCATGGGGCGTAGGGGAATAAGTCTTCCACAGAATTACAACATGGAGACAATCATGGGGCGTTGGGGAATAACTCTGCCACAGAATCACAACAGGGAGACAATCATGGGTCGTTGAGGAATAACTCAGGCACAGAATCACAACAGGGAGACAATCATGGGGCGTTGGGAAATAACTCTGCCACAGAATCACAACATGGAGACAATCATGGGGCGTAGGGGAATAAGTCTTCCACAGAATTACAACATGGAGACAATTATGGGGCGTTGGGGAATAACTCTGCCACAGAATCAGAACAGGGAGACAATCATGGGTCGTTGAGGAATAACTCAGGCACAGAATCACAACAGGGAGACAATCATGGGGAGTTGGGGAATAACTCTGCCTCAGAATCACAACATGGAGACAATCATGGGTCGTTGGGGAATAACTCTGCCACAGAATCACAACACGGAGACAATCATGGGTCGTTGAGGAATAACTCAGGCACAGAATCACGACATGGAGACAATCATGGGGCGTTGGGGAATAACTCTGCCTCAGAATCACAACAGGGAGACAATCATGGGGCTTTGGGGAATAACTCTGCCACAGAATCACAACAGGGAGACACTCATGGGTCGTTGAGGAATAACTCTGCCACAGAATCACAAAAGGGAGACAATCATTGGTCGTTGGGGAATAACTCTGCCACAGAATCACAAAAGGGATACAATCATGTGGCGTTGGGAAATAACTCTGCCACAGAATCACAACATGGAGACAATCATGGGGCGTTGAGGAATAACTCTGCCACAGAATCACAACATGGAGACAATCATGGGTCGTTGAGGAATAACTCTGCCACAGAATCACAAAATGGAGACAATCATGGGTCGTTGAGGAATACCTCTGCCACAGAATCACAACATGGAGACAATCATGGGGCGTTGGGAAATAACTCAGCCACAGAATCACAACAGGGAGACAATCATGATGCGTTGGGGAATAATTCTGCCACAGAATCACAAAAGGGAGACAATCATTGGTCGTTGGGGAATAACTCTGCCACAGAATCACAAAAGGGAGACAATCATGGGGCGTTGATAAATAACTCTGCCACAGAATCACAACAGGGAGACAATCATGGGGCGTTGAGGAATAACTCTGCCACAGAATCACAACAGGGAGACAATCATGGGGCGTTGGGGAATAACTCTGCCACAGAATCACATCATGGAGACAATCATGAGGCGTTGGGGAATAACTCTGCCACAGAATCACAACATGGAGACAATCATGGGGCGTTGAGGAATAACTCTGCCACAGAATCACAACATGGAGACAATCATGGGGCGTTGAGGAATAACTCTTCCACAGAATCACAACATGGAGACAATCATGGGGCGTTGGGGAATAACTCTTCCACAGAATCACAACATGGAGACAATCATGGGGCGTTGGGGAATAACTCTTCCTCAGAATCACAACATGGAGACAATCATTGGTCGTTGAGGAATAACTCTTTCTCAGAATCACAACATGGAGACAATCATGGGGCGTTGGGGAATAACTCTTCCACAGAATCACAACATGGAGACAATCATGGGGCGTTTGGAAATAACTCAGCCACAGAATCAGAAAAGGGAGACAATCATGGAGCGTTAGGGAATAACTCTGCCACAGAATCACAAAAGGGAGACAAGCATCTGTCGTTGGGAAATAACTCTGCCACAGAATCACAAAAGGGAGACAATCATGGGGCGTTGGGAAATAACTCTGCCTCAGAATCACAACGTGGAGACAATCATGGGTCGTTGAGGAATAACTCTACCGCAGAATCACAAAAGGGAGACAATCATGGGGCGTTGAGGAATAACTCTGCCACAAAATCACAACATGGAGAAAATCAGGGGGCGTTGGGGAATAACTCTGCCACAGAATCACAACATGGAGACAATCACGGGGCGTTGAGGAATAAATCTGCCACAGAATCACAAAAGGGAGACAGTCTTGGGGCGTTGGGGAATAACTCTGCCACAGAATCAAAACATGGAGACAATCATGGGACGTTGGGGAATAACTCTGCCACAGAATCACAAAAGGGAGACAATCATGGGGCATTGGGGAATAATTCTTCCACAGAGTCACAACAGGGAGACAATCATGGGACGTTGGGGAATAACTCTGCCACAGAATCACAACATGGAGACAATCATGGGGCGTTGGGGAATAACTCTGCCACAGAATCTCTAATGGAGGCTATCTTTCGGAGATGCATGAATTATGAATCACTGCAAAGTTCCTACATATATATACACTGGAATGCGGGCGAGCACGTCCTGCAATGCGGTCACATGACTTCAACACCGACATTTCCGTTACGCTCTGTTAAAGCCTGATTAAGATAGACTTTACCTACCTTTCCTTGTAATTGTACAAAGTTGATGTTTTTGGTTGATAACTGTGGTTAGATTATGTCAGCACTAAAAAGACGGCACTATGTCCTCTTGTTGTAGATGCACGTTGATCGACACAGCGACATGCTGCTTGACGCAGTGCATCTGACAACAGCGTATGTCGTGGTGGCTCAAGGGCCATGCTGATGTCAGTGTGACCTACAGTTGTAAACCGGTTCTCCTGGTGGTACGCGCCTAGTGTTTAGTCAGGGATTGATTATTGACTGTGAATGTGTTCTGTGATGTATGTTGTTGCTATGAGCGTCGGGGTCAGTGTTCATGTATACATTTAATCCTCTAGTGTGCGAGGTGATTGTATCAAATGATCATATAGTTTGACAACTGCTTGAGCGAAAACTCACACGACTCTTACATCGAGACACAACTAACAACAATAGTTGTATCATTGTGTCAAATACTAAAATGTTGTCAGGGTGAATATACTAATAAGGCAGCGACCCTCGAACCACTTGTGTAGCCTGTGGGTTTTTTTATAAAAAGACACTGAATGTGTGTGTGTGTGTGTGTGTGTGTGTGTGTGTGTGTGTGTGTGTGTGTGTGTGTGTGTGTGTGTGTGTGTGTGTGTGTGTGTGTTACCATAACTACTTTTTCTCTCCTACTGAAGCTGATTAGCGATACATTTACCCTCACGACACTTCCTAAGACTGTTTACAAACTGAAACTGTTTGATAGAATGATAAACAGAATCTCTCCATTGTGATTGATATCAAGTATATCAACACGCAACTGTTATCGACCCGTGTTGATATATTTGATATCAAAAGGCACTCGGGTGAGATTCTGTGTGTCATTTATATCCAGTTTCTTTCGAATGTGGTAATATTTGCAAGTAATGCTTCTGATAATACATCCTATTTGATCCCTTTGTTCAAAAATGATTAAAAGCATCGGTCCTTCGGCGATTACTTTGGCGAAAGACACGATTAAACGAACTTGGAGACATAATGAGGAATATAACTCTCCCCCTGACACCAAGCCATAAGGGTCTGGGGACTCTCTTTGTCACAGAATCCCTACTAGCTACATGGGACCTACGTCATTGAATCAATGAATTCAACGAATCGTAAATGACGAATCAACAAGACGCGACACAGGCGAACATGCCCTGCTAGACTAACATCTAGTCTCTGAAATGAACATATCGTACAGAAAAAACAGTTGTTCAGTTATCTTTATAAAAATATAATAAAAGGGAGCTCAGTTACTCTCTTCATTTTCAGATACTGCAGTAATCTGGACTTGCCAAACATTATAGACTTGCATGGGCTGTATTTGATATATATTTGTATCAGGGTCTGTAAGACAGACTAATGTCCTGCATGAAGATAAGATAAACTGAACACCGACATTTCCGTTACGCTGATGATCCTGATGTTATCAGACACCTGCCTTCCACGCTCATGTACACTATCAGTGTGTCTGGTTGTTAGATAGCCCAAGAGTGCTACGGTCAGTGTAACCTTACAGTAGTTATACAATGTCTCCCCTGTTACACACAGCTGAGTGGCCCATTCAGCAGCTATCGGAGAGACAGCTGGAGATGTCAAAGAGCGAAATACTGATCTTGCTCAAAAGCTTTTCAAGCGTTATGCAATTCCCCTATATCTTCCCGTATTTATTCTGGTGAACCCTTACCTTGCCTTTGCATGTGTTTGTGACGGGTGACATCGATAGGACAGGTATAATCACTATTTGATATTGATTCACAAGCACATGCTTATGATATTGCTGGACTCTGTTTTATGCAGATTATTCTATTGAATATGGAAAGGGTTTTGTCGCTTTATTTGATTAGATTAATTATATTGTAAACCTAAAACTGGGTGTTTCAATATATTTTGTGAACTGTTCATTGATCTTGTGTGGTCATTTATTGATTTTAGCTTTAGTTTTGTATGTACCGATTTCTCGGTTATCCTTTTGGTTTCATGTTAGAAAGCACCTCGTAACATTACACAGTTTAATACTTTCTTACACTTACAACTGCTTCAGTAGTCTAGTGGTAGAGCGTCCGCCCGGAGAGCGGAAGGTCCGGGGTTCGATCCCCGGCCGCGTCATACCAAAAGACGATAAAAGATGGTACTTGTTGTTTCCCTGTCTGGCGCTCGGCATTAAGGGGCTAAAACAAGGACTGGTCGGCTCGGAGTCAGTATACTGTGTCTGAATGAGGTATTCATGTTAAACTGCGGCATGGTATCTCAGTGTGCTAGCACTATAAATCGGCATCAGTCCGGACTAGTACAAGCACACACACACACACGCACAAACACACACACACACACACACACACACACACACATACGTGCATGCACGTCGCTATAAGTGCAATAATCTTGGACGCGACGTTAAACCTAATTTCACCTCACCTAGAATAGGTTCTCGGCAACCTATACTTGTAGTACAAGATGGCTGAGTTGACGGTGGTCAGAGTTGACGGTGGTCAGAGGTGTTAGTGTGTTCCGATAGGGTGGGTCGTTGCTCATAATATAGACTTGATTGTCTAGTCCAGACTTGATTATTTACAGGCTGTCGTCATATACCTGGAATATTTTGCTGTGGCATTAAACAAATGTGACATCATAAAAAGTGATTGTTGTTGCCTACCAGTTGATTGGTTGATAATATTCATCATCAAAGACTGGCTTCCAGGCAATATCGCTTTGCTGAGATCAAGTGAGATATCACTGCCATGTAATTCCATTATGATGCTTTGCAGACCAGTTACCATGATATCACAATCTCATGATATCACTAGTCTTGGTCACTGAAACTGGTTGGCTGTAATTTTTGAACTTAAGACATGACGTATAACTGTTATGAACTGAAAAAGTTGTAAGAATGGTTTTGGATTATAAATCAAATCCTACCCTTGTTTCTTTTGATATCAAATTTATCAACACCAGTCAATAAAAGGTTGAAACTTTTATCAACTACTTGTTATATATTTGATATCCAAAGACCCTCGGGTGAGATTCCCAAGACTGGTGTGTACAGTGAAACCCTTTTAGTCAGGACACCCAACTTTCTGGACAAGTCTGTCAGGAATTTCACTATATAATATAGACAGAACTCTGAGATGAGGAATCTTTAATCCAGACAATTTCCTTGGGAACAGTACTGTCCGTAGTAGGAAGGTGTCACTTTAAAGATATTTTCTTGTGAATACCACGTTTCTCTCTGCCAATTCATGTATATTAATGCTGTGTAAAAAGTCAATGTTATGGACTTAAAATGCAGCAAATATTTTACAAAGTATTACAAACGTAACATTGTATTTCATCTGAAGTAGGTTATTTTTATCTTTCTGACGCTTGTTCGTTTCAGGTGGAATATTTCTTTAAGATCCTGGGCCGTTAATCATCCCATACGATGCCAAAATTCATCCTGAAGTGTATTGTACATAGACCCTGTGATATATGTTTACTGTATAATCTCAATGTGTAAATTCATAAATTATTTATATTATTTAGAAACTTGAAATACAAAACATTCATTTCAAGCAGTAGCCTCTTCATCGTTTTAATGTCAGCGTTTTGGAAGTGAATATACCTGAAGGTATTTGACATGTTGGAAACTATATGATGGACAAGGTAAACCTGGTATATTCCTCCTGATTGAGACGCTTACCTCTTTCATACATAGGCTTAGTCATCACATGAACATACTGCTTTTATTTATTGTATATGTATCTGCAGATGTTTTACAATTCCAGGTGTTTTTGAATTAATTTCACCATGAAGTACCTGTACATTTGTAATGAAGACAATACAGACTTTATAGAAAATGTGTGTTTGGTTCTGATTTTGTGCAGTTGAAGTACCTTGACCTGTTGAGAGTGTCTCTGTCATTAAACATACTTGTCTTTAGTGCATCCCTATCCCTCGACCTGCTTGATTCAAGGTCATCCCTTTCCCTAGACATGCTTGATTCAAGGTCATCCCTTTCCATGGACCTGCTTGACTCAAGGTCATCCCCTAACAAGGACCTGCTTGACTCAAGGTCAACCCTTTCCCTAGACCTGCTTGATTCAATGTCAACCCTTTCCCTAGACCTGCTTGATTCAAGGTCAACCCTTTCCATGGACCTGCTTGACTCAATGCCAACCCTTTCCCTAGACCTGCTTGATTCAAGGTCAACCCTTTCCATGGACCTGCTTGATTCAAGGTCAACCCTTTCCATGGACCTGCTTGACTCAATGTCAACCCTTTCCCTAGACCTGCTTGATTCAAGGTCAACCCTTTCCCTAGACCTGCTTGACTCAATATCAACCCTTTCCCTAGACGTGCTTGATTCAAGGTCAACCCTTTCCATGGACCTGCTTGACTCACTGTCAACCCTTTCCCTAGACCTGCTTGATTCAAGGTCAACCCTTTCCATGGACCTGCGGTTGGGTGGCCTAGTGGTTAAGGCATTAGCTCGTCACACTGAAGACCCGGGTTCGATTCCCGACATGGGTACAATGTGTGAAGCCCATTTCTGGTGTCCCCCGCCGTGATATTGTTGGAATATTGCGTAAGATCACAATGAGTGAGTGATTATGGTTCTACGCCGCTTTTAGCTATCCATGTGATTTTGTATATTTCCATCTTGCAGATGTTATATTGTGCAACGCCGTGATATAACTGGAATAATGTTAAAAGCGGCATTTAACCCAACTCACTAACTGTATTGTGCAAGCAATGCTTCTCTGTGCAGTAATTATGCATTCTGTTGATAAATTATGTTTACCATACTCTAATGATGGCACTTGTCTTCACAATCCTGTTTGGTAACAACTTGAGGAAAATCACAAGGTCCAGAAGTCATGAAATATGCTGATGAAATCATGTCATTACAGGTGTTTTAGCAACTTGACAAATGCAGGTTCATCAACACGTATCTGGGGGTGTTCAGCTCATATATAATGTAATTATCGACGGCAGTTTTAACTTCGCTGTGACGACACTTTAAGAAGTAATGCGATACTATTACAACACAGGTACCACTAGGTCTGACATATACTTTGGTTGGTTGGCTTGTTGTTTAATGCCACACTAAGCAATATTCCAGCGGTCTGTAAATTTATCGAGTCTGGACCAGACAATCCAGTGATTGACATCATGAGCATCGATCCCCGCAATTGGGATCGATGAAATGTATCAACCAAGTCAGCAAGCCTGACCACCCGATCCCGTAAGTCGCCTTTTACGACAAGCATAGTCGCCTTTTACAGCAAGTATGGGTTGCTGAAGACCTATTCTACTCCGGAATCTTCACGGGTCCTGACATATAGGACAATGTTTATTGAGATCATTGTTTCAAATTGTTCGAATGTATTATAAATGCACAATAACCAAACTCCCAACAACTTGAATTTTCGGTGCCTTACAAACTCCATGTAAATCAGTCCCCTTGATGCTTTGTCTCATATTGCATACTGTCATATTTACAGTAGTTTACTTATTAAGTAATGTATTGTGTTCAATTCCAGATAATATTCATAATATCCTATAATAATATGGTAACTTCTTTAAGTATGATCCTTGTGTTGTCATTATGAAGACACCGTTTGGAATAGGTCTCCAGCAACCCATGCTTATCGTAAGAGGCAACTAACGGGATCCGGTGGTCAGACTCGCTTACTTAGTTGATGCATGTCATCGTATACTAATTGCGTAGATAAATGTTCATGATGTCAATCACTGGATTATCTGGTCCAGACTTGATTATTTGCAGACCGCTGTGATATAAGCTGGAATGTTGGTGAGTGCAGTGTTAAACAACAAACAGTACATATATATATATACCCTGCCCATTTTGGACTGTTCTCCTGATCACCTGACACACAAAGTCACGATGTACCTAGAATGCTGGTAAAAGCAACAATACACCACTCAGTCGCCATCATTATCCAGAAATATTTTAACACTGACACTGAATACGGTACCTACATGTATCTGACACAGTCACTGAGAAATACATGTAATCTTGTCTGTAAAACAAACATTAAACATATAAATTTTACAAGATTGTGTCAAAGTGTCAGTAAGAGTGGGTGAGTATGGTTTTACGACGCTTTTAGCAATATTGCAACAATATCACGGTGGGGGACACCAGAAATGGGCTTCACACATTGTACCCATGTCGGCATAAAAACCAAGAAGGACATTGCAATGGAATTTGACAGAAGAACTTAAAATAAACTTAAGTTGCTTGTCATTGGAAAATCTCAGAAACCTCGGTGTTTTAAGAATGTGAGAAGCATGCCTACCGTACCAACACAAAAGTTTAGATGACAGGTGAAATACTCACTGATTGGATTCGTGATGGCGGACGTTTCCGAGCGAAAACGTATACAATGAACACCGGATATAACGAACTGATTTCTCTGGTCCCTTGTGGTTCGTTATAGCCATGTTCTACTGTATTGGTAATTCCAATTAATCCGGGAATAATTATACCTACCAGTTTGTGAAGGACTCACCTCGATCATGTCAATCAATAAGAACATAGAAACACGTGTCATGGAACGAGTGTGTGACAAGAAGACTTCAAGGTCAAGGACAGCTATCTGGTGTGAGGAACACATTGGTTTTGACGAAAATCCTTGGTCAATAATCAAATTGTCACAGATACCAGTGGATACAGATATTCTTTATTTTCTCCGGTTTATACAGAGTACATGTTATACAATGGTAAGACAACCTTTATGGCATAAATACATTGCTAAAGGTGTAAATAGAAGGACAATTAGCTTCTTTTGTATTTACAGGTGTAAGCTTGCTGACTTGCTATTGTATTGTAGGCATCTTCCTATCTCGTAATAACCTCAGGGGGTTTTACTTTTTCGTAGTAAGACCTTGTATGAGTGTTTACCTTTAGAAGTAAGACCTTATGAGCTGAGTAGCAGATGAAATTTCGACTTTCAATGTTCTAAAATTGAAGACAAGAAATGAAACCCTTTCATTATTGATGACAGAATCGGACCTGCAACTTCATATATTGTGTTAAGGTTTGTAACTCACTGTTTTCCCACCAAGGCAGGTGATAAAATGTTGTTCAATTTTACATGTCATGACTTAGTTGTGTCCATGCTGCACGTGGGTTTTGCTCTCGCACTCTTTGATCGATATTATACCGCGACACATTGTGTTGTTTCACAAAAGATATCTTGATGTTTTCCTATTTTTGCTGTTATTTCATGATGTAAACGGTTCATACTTTGGATAAAACACTCCATGGTTTGGGTTGTGAATGTAAAATCGCGAGCAACGTTCTACATTATCAACCAGATCCGATAAGTGTTTTATCCTTAACATATTAACTGCATAGTCAATATTTATTATGCTTTCTGTCCATGGATTCACAAAAGTGGTAACGTCTAAGACCTGCATCACTATGGGCTTTCCTCCCACCACCAGGCCGACAGGTCGTAATACAACTGTTCGGATACTCGGATTGGTCAGTCGATGTGTTTTGATAGGCAGGTTAGGTTCCTTGTGTGTTCATTGGAGAGCTCGTTGAATGACACCACGTAACTTTGCACTGATGTCCTTGTCCTTCACCTCCATCAAGGTCATCTCCAATGTAAACTCCTTACTCTGCTTGACGCCAAACATAGGGAGAAGTTGGGCACTCTTGACGGACCGTGATGTTAGTATCATCTCCTTGTTGACATCAATGAATGCCACTTTCCCCCTCACTGCATCATACACGACGCCATACGTCAGCATCGACATTCCTGGCTTGTTGTCAAAAGGCCGATCAAAACAGTCAACACGTTGTGTGCATATTGTTTTGTGAGTGTTACAGTAGCCGACTTGTACTCCACAACTAAAATAACCACATTCTCTTTTATCAGCATGAGATGGCGCAGACAATCCAATTTCAAATATACGTGTTTGTATTTGTGCTGCTGTTTGTACTATCCTAACATGAACCTGAAAGTAGTACGGATCTGTGGGGTCAGAAGACACGTGGGAATATGAGGGAACAAGTTGACCTTGACCTTGGAAGGACCCGGAAGTAGTGACAGGTGCAGAGGACAGCATGTAAGGAAGGGTCATGGAGCCGCAAGTTCCGCTGTACCTGTTAAACTTCCTCGTGGTGAATGGCGGGTTGCGAGCAGGGCGGTTGACCATGTGTCTCTCAGTGACTTCAACTAGACTGAAGTTTGCCTGCAGGACATCAAACTTGAGTGGTGGACCTATTAAAAGACAAATTAACTTAACTGCGAATAGCTGTGATTGCTACTGTGGCGTTTGAGATATATAACTTAATAAATATAATAATTTGAGGAAAAAAGTACTTTGGAATCAGCCATTAAAATATGCATGTGTAAACACATTCGCTGAAGATTAATGGTCATAACTGTGTTGAAGCAAATACAGTAAACTACGGTTATAACGAACACGCTTATAACGAACTGATGGATATAACGAACTTACGTTTTTGGTCCCGACTATTTGCTGTAGTTATGCTGTACATATGCTTTTAACGAACTACGGTTATAACGAACTAAAATTAGTAGTCCCTTTGAGTTCGTTATAACCGTACTTTACTGTACATGTTTATATTCCTAAATCTTTGGCAATAGACAGGATTACATGATATACAACACTTCTGGTTTTATATCATAGCTTTTTTTCAAAGGACAAACACGTAACTACTTTAAGTGTTTTTTATGTCAAAACATGTTGGATAGAGATAAGAGATTTGAATTCATTCTTTATTAAGTACTGTATATATTAATTAAAATTATGATTGAAACTGACAGGTTGCAATAATCATTTGCCCGACTGACACTCATTGTCTCGCCCAGATGAAGTTAAAATATTACAGAAGGGGTTTGTGCACAAACTGACAAAGAGGAAACAGGATTGGAATGAACCCTTTTTGTCCCAGCCAGATGTCATCCAATGAATCACAGCCCTTCGTGAAAAGGTTGTCACTGTTCCCCTGACAAGGCATCAAATAACATAGCCGATATATATCAGCATCTCAACATTATTTGTTTTTATCAAACAATGCAACATAGAAGGCCAGTGTTAACTGAGGAAAAAATATACCAAAACCACGCATCAGTACTTCCAAGTTTCGACATAACTCTGGAACCTGAAGACATGTCCATTCTTCTTTTGTCTTGGATTTCATCCAAAGCTCCCCCCATAGCATCCACCGTACAAAGAAAGCTATATGCTGGATTCAGCAAATTTACCACCAAATCCCTGTCTCAACGATTAACCATAATCCTTTTACACAATCAAGCTTTATATTCACTTCTTTATATTCACAGAGGGCATTTGAGACAAGTGGAATTAATACCATGTGTCTGAATGGGAACAACCCTCTCCGTCCTCCACATGGAGGAGTAAGCATACAGGCCGAAACATTGTGTTCCTCAGAATAAAGAAGTTGACATCCATAAATTCTCTCTTAGTACCATGTGGATTCTCAAAACCCAAAGGATTTGCTTGATATTTTGGAATCTCAGAAAAGAACCAAGTTATATTTTGTGAAACAATTGATCTTTCAACTTGTTCTGCTGTGCAGCGTCAGACATCAAACAAATATCTATTTTTTGCAAAGTGCATGAGTGGCGTTCGCGGGTGTTCGGGTCATGCTTACCCTTTCTGCGAACACCTGATGTTATCACTGATTGTCAGTAAACCAATCATATAATTTTCATTGCTATTTTGCCTTTAACCCTCCATGGAATCTATGATGGTAGAAAATCGAGACTGGTTATTCTCTGGCGTTGACGTTATATATATGCTGTGATGTTCGTTGTATACTTACAGTTGAGTTTGACAGGCACGCCGGTTGTATACTGACTACTGATAAGGGTCAAGTCACTGGTCAGCCTCACACCTGGAACATGTCGTAATCTACTGTTAAATAATACACAAGTGGTATATCGTTGGTGGTCCAGTCTAGACGACAGGCGCCGCGATTCGCTGTGCAGAGTTGCGTCCCTTAGGCACGCCAAAAACCTATGATTGTGCGTTCGATTCACGGTTCGCCCTGATCATGTTTCTAGATTTGTCAGCACCATACCTGTGCATAAGTGGTAAACGTCTGAAACCTGCATCACTTCAGACTTTCCTCCAACATTAAGCTGACACGCTGTGATGTAACTGTAATACTGATAAAATTGGCGTTAAACCAGACTCACTCCGTCATTTACTTCATATTGATTGAAACCATAACTGTACAATTCGTATTACTATATATTCCATTATTATTAAGTATTAATATATTCAACACACATAAACACATGGACACATTCTATCGTAATGATTACAATAGTTTAACAGTCGTTAGGAACACATTTAGACAATACACTGTTATACAACCACCTGCCCTCGTCGTCCGAACAAAGACAAGAAGAAACATTTCTCTTTAAGAAAAGTGACTTTCACAAACCATACCAACCTATTTTCTCTGCCAGCTTCTTAAATGTGTCTATTGCTGTTTGTTGTGTTTCCAGCTCCCTCTCCAGAGATGTTATCGTCTAAACACACAACAATAATTAGGATGGGATTAATGTCATTATGGAAACAACAACCGTAAAAGGTCTATGTACGGATTGAGTTTTAATTTTTTTTTTAATTGGGCGTGTTTTGTTTATGTTCATATCATTAAAGTGTAAGTGTAAATTATCAGTGACATGTAGGACTATATCTGACGCTTTTACTGTTATCGTATACTGGTTATTGTTGAGACGTCAACACGCCCATCCAAGGACCCGTGTTACAGATACTTACATCACTTCTCGCCTGAAGATGTTTATGTGCTAGGTCTGAAATATAACCAAAGTGCGTCAAAGAAAATCCCCAAACTTCGTATAATTGATTTCTGTTTCATGCCCTATCTAACATAAAATAACATGTGTCCATACAAAATGACAAAATTTGTGAAATATCGAAAGTTTCTCAACGCATGTATTTTGGCAGGTATATATTTCAACAATGTCTAAGACAATTAATGATTTGTTGAAAATTCAAAATTTCTGATCGCTTGCCTCCGATAATTACTCCCTGTTATTGTCCCTGAATGTTTGTAACACTTTCAAAGCATGACTTCCCTCCCGCTATTTACGATCTTGGGGACTAAATCCATACACGTAGAGACAGGGTTTTATATTACCTTGTTGTCAGGGGGTGAACACAGGGGAGCTGGCATCTCAACTGATATTAATTATTTGAAGGCGTAATGTGACAGGTGTTTGTGAAACTAACACCCTGGAATAAGTATATTGCATATGTTCTCCATTACCTTTCGCTTTCTCCTCAATCGTTAGCTTTTCTTTCAACATTTTCTCAGTCTGTGAAAATGTGAAATAAATTAAATACTTCAGTAGCCAAGATGTAGTACCTGATCATTTAAGAAATCAGATGGATCCGTGACATTCTTAATTTTTTTAGGAGAAACTGCTTACACCAACAAACAATATAAATCTTAATTTCTTCTACCTTCCAACAATGACAATTATTAACTGCTAAAAGTGGCTAATGATTTCTTTTTAACCGCGAAAGGTATTTTATAACTCCTACTCTCACCATCAGTGATCTCTTCTCAAGCTCATGGTACCTTCTCTGCAGATCCCCAATCTCGTTCTGTAGGAAAGCGTACTTTGATGTACCTAAATACAAAACACATGCACATACAATAACAAGGCTCTAAGGCAGCTTGCACAGTTTGATTGGACAGACTTTAGTTTTCGTAAACCATCATATACTATAAACTAGTTCAGCATTCGAGCTTTCTAGTGAAAACATATTTGCAGCTGATCGTAGAATTAGTAAAACATCAGCAACAAACAACTACTTGTTAATGCAAATTGTATGATTGGTTGTTTTACGCCGCACTCAGCAATATTCCAGCTCTATGACGGCGGTCTGTAAATAATCGAGCCTGGACCAAGCAATCAAGTGATTGACATCATTAGCATCGATCCTATGATAACAAGACGAAGACTTACCTTGGTTATCCTGTTGCTGATTGGCCTGAGATTCCCGGTCCGGTAATGTTAGGAAGCATCCAAAGGAGGCAATGTCAGTCTTGAGATCCCGGAGACCCTGTCTGGAGAACGCAACACCTGCTGCTGCTTCCTGCTGCTTCATGGCAGACATGTGCTCAGAGAGACAGGAGTCCACGCTCTGCATCATGGTGTCCTGGAGCTCCAGGTACTCTACTGGTGTCAAGGTCAAGGCCTTCTCTATGTAGGTCAGGGAGGTGTTCAGGGACATCTGGGACGTCTCCAGTTCCTGCTGCTTCTCCCTGGCTCCATCCCTGATGTGTTCAAAGCAGGTGCTCAGGTCAAGGTCAAGTTCCTTCTCTCTCTGGTCGACTAAAGACTTCAGTTCAGATATTGTGTGAACCTTCAATGTTTGCAGGGAACAGCATTTCTCATCAATCTTTTCTTCAATGCTGTTCATCTGTAGAATCGATTCATTTAAGGATTCTTGATGGATCAACAGTTGATTGTGTTTCGTTTTCATTTCAAGTTGCTTGGATTGAAATGCTTCGTCGACTTCTTGAACGCCATGACCAGCATGATCGCCACGTGTACACCTGGAACATATCAGAACTCCACATGTCGCATCATAGACATCAACAGGCCTTTGGTGTGTGGAGCAAACAGCATCCTTGGCTTCTATGGAGACTCCATCTTGTGCCACTTGGTCGATTGTCTGAACTGTGTGACCTTTTGTGATTTTGAAATCACTGTGAGCCACTTGACAATTTTCACAAAAGAGAGCCTCGCACTGTTTACACCACACGACAGCCTGTCCGCCATCTTGTTTGTTAGTGCATTGCAACTCGGATGGACGATGAAGGACAGTCAGATTGAAGATCTCTCTTACCCTGACCTTGTCTTCTGGGAACTTGTGTTTTTCTTTATCAAATTCTTTGTGACAAGACGAGCATTTCAACGCCCCTGCCTCAGCAGCAGAAAGACAGACCTTGCATACAGCATGTAGACATGGCAGCAACCAGGGAGGTGGTCCTTGGTAGCAAAACTGTTGCTTGCAAATGCTGCACTTAGGGAAATGGTCCATATCTTCAACTGCAACTCTAGAAGGTGAAACACATAACATCGTAACTGTGAGAAGTTGGTGAGTAAATAGTGAATATGACGTGCTTGTGTGGAATGGGAAAAAAGCTTTTTTTGTTTTTGACATTTTTTACAAACAAGAAATCGAAGACGTTTCAGTGTCTGTTGTATACACATATACCGGTAGATAAAATGGGATTTTTGTCAAGATGAGATATGTTTTCAGATACGGATAAAAAAAACAGATATTTTTTATTCAATTTTTGGTTTTCTTGGCAGGCTATTTCTTTCTTAATATTTTCAAAAGTCTTATTACTTTGTTTGTTCATAACATAAGGCATGGATGATTATATAGATATGTCGACAATAGGACATCTGTATGACGGCATCGTGTAACCCCATGTGGAGAATCCCACCAGGAGACAATAACTCTGTCTCAGAATCACAACATGGAGACAATCATGGGGCGTTGGGGAATAACTCTGCCACAAAATCACTAATGGCGGCTGTCCTTGGGAGGTGAGTGAATTATGAATCACTGCAAAGTTACTACATACAATGAGAACATGCGGGCGAGCACGTCCTGCGATACGGTCACATGACTTCAACACCGACATTTCCGTTACGCTCTGTTAAAGCCTGATTAAGATAGACTTTACCTACCTTTCCTTGTAATTTTACAAAGTTGATGTTTTTGGTTGATAGCTGTGGTTAGATTATGTCAGCACTGAAAAGACGGCACTATGTCCTCTTGTTGTAGATGAACGTTGATCGACACAGCGACATGCTTCTTGACGCAGTGCATCTGACAACAGGGTATGTCGTGGTGGCTCAAGGGCAATGCTGAGGTCAATGTGACCTACAGTTGTAAACCGGTTCTCCTGGTGGTACGCGCAGCTAGCTGGCCGCTTCTGTAGATATCTGCTAGACAGGAGCCTAGTGTTTAGTCAGGGATTGTTTTTTGGTTGTGAATGTGTTCTGTGACGTATGGTGTTGCTATGTGTGTTTGAGTCAGAGTTCATGTATACATTTAATCCTCTAGTGTGCGAGGTGATTGTATCAAATGATCATTTAGTTTGACAACTTCTTGACTGTCAACACTGTAAAAAGTGAAAACTCACACGACCTTTACATCCAGACACAGTTACTGAAAACAGTTGTATCATTCTGTCAAATACTAGAATGTTGTCAGGTTCCCTGGGGAACCAGTCGTTGAATATTCTAATGAGGCAGCAACCCTCCAACCACAGGTGTAGCCTGTGTTTTTTTTATAAAAAGACAGTGTGTGTGTGTGTGTGTGTGTGTGTGTGTGTGTGTGTGTGTGTGTGTGTGTGTGTGTGTGTGTGTGTGTGTGTGTGTGTGTGTGTGTGTGTGTGTGTGTGTGTGTGTGTGTGTATCTGTGTTTGTGTGTGTATATCGGTGTTTGTCTAGTGTGCGTTTGTATTTGTGGTGTGTGCGTTTGTATATGTGGTGTGTGTATCTGTATTTGTGGTGTGTGCGTTTGTATATGTGGTGTGTCTGTGATGTGTGTTTGTAGTGTGTCTGTTTGTGTGTGTGTGCGTGTGTGTGTGTGTGTGTGTGTGTATCTGTGTTTGTGGTGCCCGTGTTTGTATATGTGGTGTGTGTGTGTGGTGTATGTTTGTAGTGTATCACTCTGTGTGTGTGTGTGTGTGGTGAGTGTGAGTGTGTGCGGCTATGTATGTGTGTGTGTGGTGTTAGTGTGTGTGTGTGGTGAGTGTATGTGAGTGAGTGAGTGAGTGAGTGAGTGTGTGTGTGTGTGTGTGTGTGTGTGTGTGTGTGTGTGTGTGTTACCATGACTACTCTTTCTCTCTCTAATTAAGCTGGTTAGCGATACATTTACACTCATGACACTTCCTAATACTGTTTACAAACTGAAAATGTTTGATGGGATGATAAATAGAATCTCACCATTGTGTCTTTTGATATTAACTTTATCAACACGCAACTGTTATCGACTCGTGTTGATATAGTTGATATCCAAGGACACTCGGGTGAGATTCTGTGTGTTATTTATATCCAGTTTCTTTCGAATGTGGTAATATTTGCAATTAATGCTTCTGATAATACATCCTATTTGACCCCTCTGTTCAAAAATGATTAGAAGCATCGGTCCTTCCGCGATTACTTTGGCGAAACACACTTGGAGACATAATGAGGAAACCATAAGAGTCTGAGGACTTTCTTTTTGTCACAGAATCCCTACTAGCTACATGGGACCTACGTCATTGAATCAATGAATTCAACGAATCGTAAATGACGAATCAACAAGACACGACACAGGCGTATATGTCCAGCTAGCAGATCAGATAAACTGAACACTGACATTTCCGTTACGCTGATGAGCCTGATGTTATCAGACACCTGCCTACCACGCTCATGTACACTATCAGCGTGTCTGGTTGTTAGATAGCCCAAGAGTGCTACGGTCAGTGTAACCTTACAGTAGTTATACAATGTCTCCTCTATTACACACAGCTGATTGGCCCATTCAGCAGATATCGTAGAGACAGTTGGAGATTTCAGAGAGCGAAATACTGATCTTGCTCAAAAGACTTTCAAGTGTTATGCAATTCCTATTTGTCCCCCTTTTTGTTCAGGTGAACACTTACCTTGCCTTTGCATGTATTTGTGACGGGTGCCATCGATAGGACAGGAAAATCACTATTTGATATTGATTCACAAGCACATGCTTATGATATAGCTGGACTCGGATGGATAGCTTGACAGCTGGATCAGATTAATTATATTGTAAACCTAAAACTGTGTGTTTCAATATATTTTGTGAACTGTTCATTGATCTTGTGTGGTCATTTATTGATTAAAGCTTTATTTTTGTACGTAACGATTTCTCGGTTATCCTTTTGGTTTCATTTTCGAAAGCACGTCGTAACATTACACACTTTAATACTTTCTTACACTTACAACTGCCTCTGTGGTCTAGTGGTAGAGCGTCCGCGCACGCACACACACACACACACACACACACACACACACACACACACACACACACACACACACACACACACACACACACACACACACACACACACACACACACACACACACACACACACACACACACACACACACACACACACACACACACACACACACACGTGCTAAACTTGAATTGGCTAGTCCAGACTTGATCATTTACAGGCTGCCGTGGTATACCTGCAATATTTTGTTGTGGCATTAAACAAATGTGACATCATAAACAGTGCTTATTGTTGCCTACCAGTTGAGAGGTTGTTGGTTGATGATATTCATCATCCAAGACTGGCTTCCAGGCGATATCTCTTTGCTGAGATCAAGTGAGATATCACTGCCATGTAATTCCATTATGATGCTTTGCAGTCCAGGTACCATGATATCACAATCTAATGATATCACTAGTCTTGGCCACTGAAACTGGTTGGCTGTAATTTTTGCACTTTAGACATGACGTATAATAGTTTTGGATGATAAATTATATCCTACCCTTGTGTCTTTTGATATCAAATTTATCAACACCAGTCAATAAAAGTTTGAAACTTTTATCAACTAATTGTGACATATTTGATATCCACCCTCGGGTGAGATTCCCAAGACTGGTGTGTACAGTGAAACCCTTTTAGTCAGGACACCCAACTTTCTGAAAAAGTCTGTCAGGAATTTCACTATATAATATAGACAGAACTCTGAGATGAGGAATCTTTAATCCAGACAATTTCATTGGGAACAGTACTGTCCGTAGTAGGAAGGTGTCACTTTAAAGATATTTTCTTGTGAATACCACGTTTCTCTCTGCCAATTCATGTATATTAATGCTGTGTAAAGAGTCAATGTTATGGACTTAAAATGATGAAAATATTTTACAAAATATTACAAATGTAACAATGTATTTCATCATATGTAGGTTATTTTTATCTTTCTGACGCTTGTTCGTTTCAGGTGGAATATTTCTTCAAGATCCTGGGCCATTAATCATCCCATACGATGCCAAAAATCATCCTGAAGTGTATTGTACAAAGACCCTGTGATATATGTTTACTGTGTAATCTCAATGTGTAAATTCATAAATTATTAACATTATTTAGAAACTTGGAATACAAAACATTCATCTCCAGCAGAAGCCTCTTCAGCGTTTTGGAAGTGAATATACCTGAAGGTATTTGACATGTTGGAAACTATGTGATGGACAAGGTATACCTGGTATATTCCTCCTGATTGAGACGCTTACCTCTTTCATACATAGGCTTTGTCATCACATGAACATACTGCTTTTATTTATTGTATATGTATCTGCAGATGATTTACAATTCCAGGTGTTTTTTAATTAATTTCAACATGAAGTACCTGTACATTTGTAATGAATGACTTATTAGAAAATGCGTGTTTTGTTCTGATTTTGTGGAGTTGGAGTTCAAGGGCATCCCTATTCCTTGACTTGGGATTATCACTATCTCTTAACCTGTTTGACTTGGGGCTATCACTATCTCTTGACCTGTTTGATTTGGAACTATCACCATCTCTTGACCTGTTTGACTTGGGACTATCACTATCTCTTAACCTGTTTGACTTGGGACTATCACCATCTCTTGACCTGTTTGATTTGGAACTATCACCATCTCTTGACCTGTTTGACTTGGGACTATCACTATCTCTTAACCTGTTTGACTTGGGACTATCACCATCTCTTGACCTGTTTGACTTGAGACTATCACTATCCCTTAACCTGGTTGACTATAGTGCATCCCTATCCATGACATGCTTGACTCAAGGTCATCCCTTCCCATGGACCTGCTTGATTCAAGGTCAACCCTTTCCATGGACCTGCTTGACTCAAGGTCAACCCTTTCCATGGGCCTGCTTGATTCAAGGTCAACCCTTTCCATGGACCTGCTTGATTCAAGGTCAACCCTTTCCATGGACCGGCTTGATTCAAGGTCACCCCTTTCCATCGCCCTGCGGCCGGTTGGGTAGCCTAGTGATTAAAGCATTTCCTTGTCACACTGAAGACCGAGGCTCGATTCCTGATATGGGTACAATTTGTGAAGCCCATTTCTGGTGTCCCCTTCCGTGATATTGTTGGAAAATTGCTTAAGATCACAATGAGTGAGAGATTATGGTTCTACGCCGCTTTTAGCTATCCATGTGATTTTGTATATTTCCAACTTGCTTGGCACTATGTGCGTGAAGGTAACCACATAAAGGCATGTATTGGGGAATTACAAGTTTGTTCAATGACACACCAAGACGTCTACCAAACAGATGTTATATTGTGCAACGCCGTGATATAACTGGAATAATGTTAAAAGCAGCATTAAACCCTACTCACTAACTGTATTGTGCAAGCAATGCTTCTTTGTGCAGTAATTATGCATTCTGTTGATAAATTATGTTTGCCATATTCTAATGATGGCACTCGTCTTCACAATCTTGTGAGGTTGCAACTCGGAGAAAATTACAAGGTTCAGGGTCATGAAATAGGCTGATGAAATGATGTCATTACGGGCGTTTTAGCAAGTTGACAAATGCAGGTCCATCAACATGTATCTGGGGGTGTTCAGCTCATATATAATGTAATTATCGACGGCAGTTTTAACTTCACTGTGACGACACTTTAAAAAGTAATGCGATACTATTACAACACAGGTATCACTAGGTCTGAAATACAGGTTGGTTGGTTGGTTTGTTGTTTAACGCCGCACTCAGCAATATTCCAGCTATATAAATAATCGAGTCTGGACCAGACAATCCAGGGATTGACATCATGAGCATCGATCCACACAATTGGGATCGATGACATGTATCAACCAAGTCAGCAAGTCTGACCACCCGATCCCGTAA